AAAAGAAACATCCAGCATAAGCTGGAAGTCATGTAACATATGATGTATAGTTTGTTTTAATTTTTAGAAAATGTTGTTGCCAAGACTTAGTGTCATCAAAACACAATCTGCTTGAGTCCGAAAAGTCATTCCAATAAAATTCTGTGGTAGAGATATACTACAGACTCTCTTCATGTGCCACTGCAAGTTTATGTTCAGAAACACAGATTGCCAAAAACTTAGATTTGCTATCAATGTTTGAAATTAATAGTCACATTAATAAGTAACTGCAGGATCTTCTCTTATTTGATTTAGTACAATGGATTCATGTGTCAATACACAAGTTTTTGGCAAAATGTGATCCGTATTTGGGTTAAGCATTGAGATTTAGCATTATGTTTTATAGGCATTTACTGTAAAAATAGTGGAATAGTAATGTAACAACTACCTTTTGCATCTAGTGAAACGGTACATTGTTAAATGCTGTAACATTACGACAACTAGAACAACACATGCTAACAGTAGATGGACAGTTGAGTTGAGACGACTCGCCATATCTGTACATGATAAAAAAAATAACGAGGCTCAATAATGAGTTTGTGATCATTGCTTAGCTGTCCAACACAGAAATTTCATGTTTTGGTTCACTCCCACAGCATCTTTTCTACTCTACCTTCTCAACGCCAAACAACAGACACAGACAGACTAGCTGGTGGAGCCAGATATTACCCTCAAGATATCACGTTTTGTGTGGTGAGGCAGGTTGGTGGACCCAAACGCAGGACACTGAGCAGAGTACGTACAGTCCAAAAAGGTTTATTAAACATAAGGCGAGCACACTTACAGGCGGAGTGGCTGATAAACAGAGTCCAAAATAAGATAATCCAAACAGAAATCCAAAGAAACAGGGTGACGAGCAAAGCAGGCCAACACACTGTAAAACACCGCAATGACCAGATAAACACTAAACAGAAACACCAGGTACATATACACAGGGACTAATGAGCAGGGCGGGAGCAACACAGGTGACAGACATGAGACTAACGAGACACAGGCAGGAAGAGAGAGCAGGGGAAAACAGAGAGACTGACATGCAGAGGGATTACTGGGGTAACAGACACAAGCAGACAGATCACAACAAAACTAACACCAACAGGGAAAACAGACTGAGGATGGGATAAAACAGAACACAGAGCAGACAAGGGGAACATTACACAGACCAAAAGTAAACACTAAGACATGAACTGAGACACAGAGCTAGGAGCTAAGATGCAGAGCTAACTGAGAACACAAGACCAGGAACCGAACCTCAAAACAGGAAACATAACAGACTGGAGTAGGGAACAGAGACGGAACCGACTGCGAACAATAAACATGGAGCAGAACAGCAAATAAGGGAGACACCCAAACACAACAGAATATATAGCAGATACTGGACAAAGGACAACAGATAGAACAGAACTCTAAGACAGATACTGAACAGATCAAAAATAACAAACACTGAAGTACACAGACCAGGAGTAAATACTAAGACATTAACACCGGACGGGGAACTAAGACATGGAACCAAAACACAGACTAAATATCAGATAGCAAACTGATAAATGAATAAACTCAGAACTAAACGGAACAGATGACATGACTAACATTCAGATACAAAACCAAACCCTCAGAATCAAAACCCAAAAACACAGCACTCAGGACAGGATCGTGACACAAGAATTTGTAAAGACCAAAACAGTGTGAAGAGAGATTGAATATTGGATTTACATTCAGAAATGACTGATCAGGTCGCTACATGACTGATGGATGTGTAAATAAGGAAAATGTTTGCTAACAAGTTTGGCATTTCAACTTAAAAGTGATGCTATGTCAATGCTGTGTTCACAACTAGTTTCCGCTGCTCCCAATTAGCCAGCAAGTCTGTAATTACAGGTATAAGGAATTTAGGGAAACAATGCTTATTCACTTTCTTGTTGGAGTTAATTGAGAAGATTGATAACACTCTCATATCCGTCCTTTACATCTGAAGCTAGAGCCAGGAAACAGCTAGCTTAGCTTAGCATAAAGACTGGAAGCAGGTGGAAACAATTAGCCAGGTTCTGTCTGAAGGAAACAAAAGTCACCCTATACCAGCACTTCTAAAGCTCACTAATTTACACATTAAATCTTGTTTATTTAATCCATTCAAAAACTAAAGTGAACAAACGAAGGTGCAGTTTCACAAGTTGTTATGTTCTGGACTATTTGGCCACAGTGGCATCATGAAATCTTGTTATCACTGTGAATATCAACCAGTTGAGACTTCAGGAAGTTACAAAATATAAGATATGAATTAATGAACATTATTGGTAGTGGAAGCTAGATTTGTTTAAAGCTTTGCACAGACTCAGGCTGTTTCACAAAATAAGTTTGTGCTAAGCTTGTCTCCTGGCTCCAGGTTCATATTTACAAACGGATGTGAGAGTGGTGTCATATTTTTTCATCTTACTCTCAGCAAGAAAGGGAATACGCATTTCCCAAAAAGTATTTTTCCTTAAAGTGTTAAAAGTTGTGAGGTCTGTGATGTAGTAAAAAGTAATCCAGAATTAATCCTTATGCTAATCTGTGCCAAATCCAACTTCTTATAAAACCTAAATCCAGTTGCTAATCCTAAATTAGTCCATTGAAAGTGCAGAGGGCCTCCTCAGTTTGGAGGATTTTTTCTTATCTTTCCATCCTGGGAGGACATTTGCACACACACAAACATACTGCCATCCATCTGGTGACAGATCAATCTCTCATCAAACAAACCAACCCTGAACAATTCCTGTTGCTCTGTTACATTCCCCCCAGAGTTTTGGCATCGGCTCTGTTGTAATGAGAGACAAATGTGTTTAGAATTCAGCATGAGGAGGCTTTTAAGGATGAGTAGGCAAAAGTATATTTTTCCATTTAAAGTTTTCTCTTTCAGAGGAATTATTCTGGAATGGGGTATTGAGACAGAATGTGCTGATTCTGTAAATGTGGCTAAACCACAGATTGAAGCCCAGTTCGAAACAGACAGATCCTATTATTATACAGGGGGAGAAGGGGTTTTCCGATAATACTGAGGCGGTTTTACTGTGTAATACAATCATTCTCTAATCATTCGTGCTTAAAATGAAATGTGCAGCATACAGCATGTCCACACTCGAAAGAAGTCTAACTATATTGTCATTAAGAAATAGATTTTTCATCATAGGACATGCTTCATTGTTTTTCTAACACTTTAAAGTCTTGGATGGGCTATCTGCCAGTTGATCGGTCCACCACTTTGGTCCAGATTGAAATATCTCAACAGCTATTGCATGGATTGCTTTGAATACAGCCATTCATTGTCCTCAGAGGATGGAACCAATAAGGTGATCCCCTGACTTCTCATCTATTGCTACCATGAGGTTAATATTTTTATCTTTAATCTTACCGTTTGCCTGACTTTTCATCTAGTGCCATCATCAGGTCAAACTTGCCAAAACCAGCATTTTGGTTAGGACCACATAGCTACAAAAAAACTAACATTTGTAGAGAAATCATTAATAATCTGTGTTTTGTGCTCATAAGAAATCGTTAAACTAACATGAAACCTTTCAGCTTCTTCGAACAAATCTCTTTAAATCTCAATAAAGGTGATCAAGTGGTGCCAAAGAAGCACCTTTTTCAGAATAAATGTTACATAATTGCCAGAGCTAAAAAAAGTGTAGGCTACCTAATTTAAATAAAAGCAAAAAGTTGTCAGACGTTAATTTGTATTCATTCAAGTCCAAAGGATGTCTCTGACTAAAGTCAGCCTGATGTTAGTCAGAAATTGTGGTTCTCTGATGCTGTCCACTGAGGTCGAACTGAGTCATTACAGATCAGAATCTCAAACCTGTACTTCACTACATGACAAGTCAATGCTGGTAAGAGCTACTTATTATTACAGCCATTTTCTTCCCACTGAATAATGGTTGGTACTGTGCGGACAGCAGTGTCTGAAGTAGCTCTATAATGTGTTTACTGTGTGCTCCATAGCATTCTTGATATTTCCCTTTAAAATAATTTTCAATATTCAATACACTCAACTGTTAATGAAGTATGATGGGGATCCAAGTGCCACAGAAGAGTTTGAATGTGGAAATGTAATTAATTTAACTACTACATAATTTCACTGAAAGCCTGTTTGAAACATATGTTTAGTATTAGTCATGCATGTTCCTTCATTATTCTCATAAAGCAATATTTTGTTACTTCATTGTACACTTTATTTCATCTCCATTTTGAATACCATGGGCATTTGAATAAAAACCTGCATTTTAAATACATTTTGGGGATATTAGGATATTATTAAGATCACTTACAATTCAGGTTTCCACTACTTGTCAATAATGCAGAAAATTGCAGGGAAATGACATGTCTGGATTGCATTGTGAAACTTCCAGAGAAACAGGAATCCCTCACTGAGTATAAATCTTCAGAGTATTTCCCTGTTTTCTATAATGTAGCAACATCTTTTAAACGCAGTTTGACAGTATCACCATTTAATATGTGGTTAAATTACTGGCAACAAAAAACTGAACATCTGAAAATGAAACTGTCACATGTCAAGGACACCTCTTTACAGTTTAAATGGAGCAAATTTGAACTTCATATTTCCTGACTGGCTGCATTGCCTTGTTTGGAGTCCTCACATCTGCAATAGTGAGACTGAAACACTCCCAGAAGTGCGATTGCGAGCTTAAAAGTGACATGAATGCAGACTTTTGCAGCATCCATCTGCTCTGTCTCATTAAAGGTGATGTGCACATTACAGGATTGCTTTCTCTCACTGGGACAAATTTCAGCTTTCTGTACAGATTTATGTGCATGTATGCATGTGTCCAGTAAGGACTGTTTTACAGTTTGCTTTCATTTGCTGTTAACATTTCCTGAACTGTTATGAATTGCCTTTAACCGAATTGTTTGCAGACAATGCTTTTCCCAGAGTACACTAGTTAATTACAGCTGAATAATCATTACTTGACTTGGCCATGACTTCCTGTAATGCTCTTTTACGGGTCTCTGCCTCTCCACTCAGTAAAACATTAGTGTGCGGTTCAATCGAGCTATGCTCAGAAAATTAGAACCTTTTCTGGTAACTGTGGTAGGAGACAAATCATAAAGCATCTTCTTTGCTGTGGCTAAATATTGGCTAAAATACTGGTATTTTCTGAAGACGCAAGCTATGAGGTCAGAAATGGAGAATCATGCATACTTATAGTCCTTAGCTGGAACAAAAACTTCTGGATTGAAGTTGTTCTCAGATTATTTTTTTTTGTCCCGTGTTTATTTCCAAACATCTACTTTAAAGATTAAGTGACAGACACGCATCAAATCCACGGTTGATAAAAACTATTTGAGTGAAAAAAAGAGCAAAATAAGCTATTGGTTAGTTGTTTCTTTGCAGCCCTTTGAATTCTTTGCATAATAATACCCTTTAGTTACAGATCGAGGGAGGAAGGAGAGGGGAGGAAACTACTGAAAGAGGAGCGACTGCTTGTCCAGACAGTGTGAAGTGAAATGTTGTGGGTTTAGGAAACTAACGGCAGACCGGACCGGGGACTATATAGGCTACTTTCAGAGCTGTAGCCCAGTCTTTTGAAAAAAAAAATATTTTATGCCGAGGATGACAGAAAAATAATCTGTCGTTGGATCGATATTGCCAAATCAATGTTGCGTGGGCGGTATCTTTGACTCTAAAGTCTGTGTCTATTTTTTCTCAAATCATGCCACGTTTGTGATGCGCAGAGCAAGTCCTCCTCCTCCTCCTCCTGTTTACGCACAGCTGCTAATAGACCGCTCAGAGCTGACGGACCGAAAAGTTACCGACGTTGTTTTTACTTGTTATCCAGAATATTTATTTCCAAATTTCTGTGGCCTCGACCCCTTCAACCCACAGGTCCGCCGACCCGCCCCAGCATGCTGGACTGACGTCTTGAGGAATGGCATCGGCTGTGTTTGAAGGCACATCGCTGGTCAACATGTTTGTCCGGGACTGCTGGGTCAACGGGATCCGGAGGCTCATCATCAGCCAGCGCGGAGAGGAAGAGGAGTTTTTCGAGATAAGGACAGAGTGGTCTGACAGGAACATTTTATACTTGCATCGGAGTTATTCCGATCTGGGACGGCTGTTTAAAAGACTGGTTGAGTCCTTTCCTGAAGACAGAAGAGACCTCTCCAAGTCTCCTCTGATTGAAGGTTGGTCGGGAGGGAAATAGCAGAATGTGAGAGTTAGACTATGTGACAGGAAGTGAAGATAGAGCATTTAATACAGTATCAAAGTATCACAAAGCCTATATATTTTTGGGGTTAAATTCTGACCAGGGGAGTAACTACAAACTATGGGGCCATAGGCTATATGTATGAAGTGACTGGGGCCCCCTCAACTTTCTCTTCATCTGCGCTACTATTTTTACTTGGCCTTATCTAGCAAACATTTGGCATTTTTGCTTAATGACATACTTAAATAACTCCCAAGGCTATATAAATTGTTGGAAGCTAGATTAAGTTTCTGACTAATTATTGAACAAACCGTGTCAGCTCCTCAAGAAGATCCTTCTCCACTGCGCTGCAACATGTAGCTTACCTAATACAGCTAGGCTATATCATTACGGATCACTTTTTGGACTAGTCACTAGACACAATCAATAAGGGTTTAGGACTATATAGTTATCTGCTTTTGTTTGAACAGGTTAATATTTAACAAAGTCCACTGTCAGATGTTGCATGAACCAACATGCTGACACCAGTGTTTCTAATTCTTGTCAATATGCTGTCACCTCTTTGCTGCCTAAAATTTGTATTCCCTGGGGGAAACCCCTGAAGCACCGGACGCTGACTTCCATATGGAGGTTTACTTTCTGCATCTGACGCATCACAACTCTTTAGGAGTAGTGGATGCTGCTGGGCTGTTTGGGCAGCAAAGATCTGGTGCTAAGGAACCAACCCCAGTTCTGAGACCAGTGCTTTGATAAAAGGCAATGTTAAATGTATTCATAATATCTTATGCAGGTCCTTGGTGTGGGAGTAAACACAAAAAAAACAACCCAGGGAGAACTTTCAGCTTTGCAGAGAAAGGAATAGGGCTGCTGTGAGGTGACAGTTGACACAGCATCACAGTTCTCAGTAACGCATCATTCTGCGCTACGCTTCACTCAGACAGTGACATGCTTTTTAGATGAACTAAAGGAATATGTTATTTGATATTGGAGATAAATGCTTTTCACAGGACAGCGACAATGTGAGACATTTATATTCTGTGTGTGTATGGGCAAATTAATAGTTATAGTTATATATATAGTTATTGTTATAACATCAAATATTTAAGATGCCTGATTAATAGAAACATTGTTTTACTTTGAGCAAATGAAACCATTATTAATGTTCATTAACCATCCATGAAAAATAACTACATTGACATTTATGAAAAGGTGATGTGACAACATCTGCTAGTTCCATCTGGTAAAACTCTAAAGCAAAGTTTTAGGCCGGGCTTCGTTGAGGGTGTATCGCCTAAACCTATTGCCCTCAGAGTTGGGATCTTTGACACTGTGGTGCGCTGGCACTGCCAACAGGTTTGGCAGAGCTCCCAGCTGTGTGTATGATCTCCCACACAGTCTCCTTGGCACTTCTCTTTTGTCTCTACTCACTGAGCCTATACAGTGTTTTGGAAACATCCCTTTAGTGGCGACTGGAAAGCTTTGCTTCCTCCCCATGCACTGAAATAGCTGACAGGGTTGTTGACAGCTCGCTGCTTTGCTGCTGCCAGTGTGCAGTGCATTTTGGGAAGCGACATTTCAGATCTCATGACTCACTTTTCTCTTCTTTTTTTACTGTGTTACTTCATATGAGGAGTCGTCGTGTTACTTTAGTGACTCAAGCTGGTTTGAAAAATTTCATTGATAGATAGCAAGCCCTGGTGTTAATAACAATAACAATATTTCATCTGCATCCCCTATAATTGCAACTCAAATTGAAAGTCCTCATGAAAAGGTCTTTCTTAGTCCACTTTGCTCCAGTTTCTGGCTCTGCTCATGTTTTCCTTTTTCTGTGCTGCGCCCAGGCAACAAGGAAGGCGTGCAGAGCTTTCAGACTGATGTCATGATGAGAGAGAGCAAGAGAGAGAGATACAGAGAGAGGGTGACTGGGAGGGGAGTGGACTTCCCATATTTAGTCCTTCTGGTCTGCGAAGGCCGCATAACACTTACCTTACATGTGACCCCAGAGTGAACACAGACAGGAAGTGATTGCTCACATTCCATCATGAGAGGCAGATTCCACAGAAGCACGTTGACACAGGCTGTGTCTGAAATCACTCTTATACTGTAATAAATAATATTAAATATTAAATATTATTAAATAAAAAAAAACCCATTAGTTTAGTCATAGTTTCAATTGGTTATTAAGGTGCTAATCATCTATAAAAGGAATGGCATTGGATCAGGTTTTAGTTTTTAGTGTAGATGTTCTGGACTCTACATTGTTCCTTTCATTTGAAAATTGTTGTGTGAATTATGGACTAGATGCATTTATAGACAACTTGAAGCGTGTTATCACACTTTGATAGAGAGCAAAACCCCTCACTTCCACTTCCGCCTAATGGGACCATATTTCAGAAAAAATATGTATGGTAGTCAATGGTGAGAGACAACAAATGTTTTGATCCTGTTAGAATTGTGGCCAGAAATACACATATGATGTTTGTCAATTTAAAAGGTAATTTTTAAGTCAAGAAAGGCGCAGTTTATCGTAAAGCAGTAACGTAACATTTAGTTTTGTGTGAAACCGCTCAATGAACGACATCCATTCTCACGTCACCACCATGTTAATGGTGTATTGCTTGCTAATGTTTATTGCTTAATAGCTAGGTAACTTAGCTGTGTTCCGCGCTCAAATTATGTGTTTAATCCAAGAACTCCTGTTCCTTTTATTACTTCATCTACACATGAAAGTTCTTTGACATTAGCTTCAGTAACGTTAGCTTCAGAAATGTTCGCTTTAGTAATGTTAGCTTCACTCATTGAGAGAAAAAGTTATGACATCACATATGCGACTTTTGGGTTTGTGGTCTTTAATGGACTGTAATTACGTATTTTTACTTATACTTTCAGTTTTTTGACAAACTGCGACTTTCTTGACTTTCTCTGATAAATATGAGCCTATACTACAGCCAGCAGCTGGTTAGCGTAGCTTAGACTAAACACTGGAAATAAGGGGAATCAGCTAACCTGGCTCTGTCTGAAAGTAACAAAATATGTCTACCAGCACCTGTAAAGCTCACCAATTAATAGTAACAACATATTATTGTTTAACACTCCAGGAAGTTACTGTGTCTGGTCAAGGCATAGACTGGCATATATCCTCCATAAAATCGCCTTAGCGATCATTTTTACATGTCTGTTTTTGAATGGCTGTAGCCTTAAATTTAACGGCAGACATGGGAGTGGTATCAAACTTCTCCCCCAGCTATTTTCCCAAAATGTCAAACTATTTTAAACTCTATGTAAGGACAGCTACTGTGAGGCTCAGCTACAGAGCTCTGAGTTTGTGTTGTTTTTGTAACCTATAAAAAAACCAACTTAGCAGCTGTTTAGTGAGAACCATGCCAACTTAACTAAAGGTGAAGTATTGATTGTGAATTTTAATTTGGTTACTTGTGATGTTGTGATTATAGAAAAATAGCATTGCTTTTAAAATATGGAAGCTTAAATAAAATTTCATTAAGAAAATATAAGTACATATGTAGATAGGTAATGAGTTTGGACACAGCCACATACAGTACTAATACTTGTACACACCAGGAACAAGAAATAAAACATAATGTAACATAACCTGAACTTCTTATGGGCCTGGATACTTACTGAGGTTTGATGTCCTCTTTGACTTGTTTACTGAGGCATCCAGAAATAACTGTGGAGAGTTAGTGGTTAGGTGATAAAGGGTTAGGCTGCTGACATGTGCTTATCAGATCTGTGCAGAGGATAGCTGTGAAATAGCTGGTGCTTACAACATCTGATGACTGTTCAGATAATGTGTCTGAGGATGACTTGGACACAGTCAAGTTCCTACTTCTACTATGTTATTTCAGCTAATTGACAAAGTAGCTTGTCAACATGGCATGCTGTTACAGAACTTACAGACGAGCAACTTTAGTGTGCAATTACAGAAATGATGAGGTGGCCACATCCACTAAAATTTTATGTATCTGTGTAATTACTGTTGTTACATTTTACTAACTGGTTGCACTAACTGGCAGATAAATACACACTTAATCTGATCTTCCAATATGGAGATAATTAAGAGTGATGGCAATAAAGAAACAACCAAAACTACCTCCTGGCTAAAATAGCAGCAGGATAATATTCTCTGAAGCCAAATAAAGAAGTGTTTGTAGAACAATTAGACTTAATGGGGCCTGAATGAATACTCTCAGAAAGAAGGCAGAAAACGTTGAATAATTATATGTAACACAATAGCTCTGGTGCTAAGGAACCAACCCCAGTTCTGAGACCAGGGCTTTGATCAAAGGCAATGTTAAAAAGCACAGGGAGAACTTTCAGCTTTGCAGAGAAAAGAATAGAGCAGTATGTGACACTGCAGCCAGGAAGCCCATTCAGGAAATAGACTTTTTTTCACAGGAAATTGGAGGAATTCACTCAGGGAACCTGGAAGGAAATAAAAAATAGCAGTATTTTGAGTCTATGTCTTTAAAGACATTTTCCAAAGGATCCTGTAATTGTGACAGCACGGTGGCCTAGTGGATAGCACTGTGGCCTCACAGCAAGAAGGTCCCGGGTCTGAACCCTGGTTGTCCTGGCCTTTCTGTTCTCTCTGTGTCTGCGTGGGTTTCCTCCGGGTGTTCCAGTTTCCCCCACCATCAAAAACATGTTAGTTAGGGTCTCCAGTCAGTGCTGTTTGACCTGGCACTGCATTCCAATCTCGAGTTGGGCCCCTGGTGCTGTACTGCTCCGTTCAGGGATGGGTTAAATGCAGAGGATGAATCTCGCTACATGGATGTGTATGTGACAAATAAAGTACCTTTACCTTTACAGCAAATCTGAGATGAAATATACACAGATGAATATTTCATAACACCGTGTGCCACAGAGGTGCACTAGGAGGGGTTGTCACTGGCAATCCAGTGATGCACTGCAATTTTGGTGTCAACACTGATTGCATTTTGTGCCGCCCACCTGCTTAGACCATGTCAGCAGTGCACACCGGAGTTTTGTGCCACATTTTTTTGACACTTTAATTGATGGAGGTGACCCACGTTACCCTCTCAAAAGTCAACCAAAAATATCCTTTTATTCACTGCTTTTTATAATGCACTCTTCGACCTGTAGACATGTCTGACTGCACAGCATTTATTCTGATCATGGTAGTGATAGCAGGAAGGCAGATTAAAGATGGATTTCTGATTCGAACCAGCATCTGTCATCCACAACAGTTTGCTTCTATGAAAGTCTTTCAGCTAATTAACATCCCTCATATCCTTCTGAAGGCAGAAGGTATGTGTTGAATCTGCTCTCTCTAATTGACATGCATCCTCAAATTGTAACTACACAAACAGATCCACTGTGGTCACAGTTTAAATATTGCACAACTAGCACCAAGATGTTGCAAAAATAACTACACATACTTCTCTTTTGCACATCAGCCAGGCCTGTTATACAGTTCATTGGTATTCTACGAAGCCTTATAAATTTATAAAGTAAAATTCCTCGTCATCTTCATCCTTACCTTACTTAGTTTTGAGAATATTTACATATTGCACTGAGATACAACCAAGTTGTAAATGCAAACTTGACAATAATATAATTTCAATAAAGGTGAAAACCACATGCAATACCTCATTCCTGATTTTATTTTTATTTTGTTATTGCACTACGGTTGTAGTTATAAATTAAAATTGTATTATTGTAAATAGAGTCATGCATCCTCAAACAAAACATTGTGACCTATGAACTGCCATTATTTCTAGAAATATTAATAAAAAAGAGACATCATCTGCATATTGATGGAAATGGATTTGGGCTGCTAAATATTTTCCCTTGCAACTCTGTGGGTCCCAGACAAGTTTCCACTCGGGACAAGCTCCTCTGTCTGGACATTCCACTTGGGACAATGTCATGGTGGAGAAAACAGCTTTTTAAGAGGATGAGATGACTTGTGATGATTGTCACCAGACCCTAACACACCCTCTGATAAAGCATGATAACAAAATTCTTCCCAATCCCAACCCGTTTCCATGTGCACCCTGGGTGCGCTGTGTGCCTGCACCTAAACAAACAAAAAGTGCATTTGACTTATAACATCAGCGCCTTGCATGTCAGGATATAAACTTTACTAATCTGTTTACAAGGACAACAACGAAACAAGACCGGGTGTGGTTTAAAGTCTCTGTGGTGAAGTTATCAGCCAGGCTTTGTTTCCGTTTAAGAAACAAAGCCTGCTGTGAACTGATATTGACTTGAAGCTTGTCAAGGCTCTGTCTTTGGTACCAAATCTCTGAATCAACCATGTGTATCAACTATTTCACAAAATGGCGTGCACTATAACAACATTGATTAAACTAGTGTAATGGTTTCCAATATTCTGGATTGGAGATGTCTTGTTTTAAGAATGCTGTCCACATCTGGTAGCAGTCTGTATAGTTGCCTTCATTTACATTACATTTCACATTCACTCATGCTTTAATCATGTTACAAAATTAAATTTTGGCTGTAAACTCTCTAAAGCATCATTACCAAAACATCCATATTGTTATTCGCCTTAAACAGAATAACTTAAACTGACTAAAAACTTGACTCAAAGCTGTCCGGTTATGACAAAATAACATATATCAGTATAAGTTTTAAACATGTACGATTTGTTGACAAAGAGGTCAGTATGATGTTCAGACTGGGTGGGAGACTCACTTGGTTCCTTGCGATGATTTAACTGCCCAATCGCTCTTCACATCCTTGTGGGTATGATGTCATCACTGCTGGCCATTTTAAATGGATGAGACTGTGACTGTGCGTAGAGTTGCATTAGGCTCCCTTAGTCAGTCCTTCCATGTAACAGTAACCTCTGGTGACTACGTTTTGTCTGTACCACTTAGACACTCAGACAGCCTCATTGGTGCGGCCACAGTCTTCATCATTATTCTTCTCACCACATCCCTTTGTCAGCATGGCAGTAAATGATGCTTTGCTGACTGTTGCTCACATGGGCGGCAGCCTTGGATCGCTAAAAGTGCTGATTTTACACTCCCACTGCCTCTTAAATTGCATTCCTACTTTCATGCAGGATTAACATGTTATCTCAGACATTGCTCTGTAGCTTTTCTCTCTACCACTGTTATTTGTTTCCTCTGTTATTACTGCTACTATGCAAATGTATGCAATTACACTGACAGTTGTTCAGCGCCTCTTTATACTCTGTTCTTGTTCTAAAGACAATGATAAGTAGTCTGTTTTGTTCCTCCTCCTGCTAGGGGTAAATATCAGGGGGCATTGTTAATAAAAACGTTACTGTACAGACTGCTACCTTTTCACTTGTGTTTGTGGCAGTCTTTTCCCAGACTAGGGATAAATTTTGTGTCCTAACAGATAACAGTCTTGGCAGCAAAGGTCGTAGCAGGGGCCCTTTTTTCCATCTCACAGGCACAAAAATAGTTACAATTAACAAGTTGGTTGTGGGACAGTTTCGTTGTACATCAGACTCTTCCGTTCAGTGTTGATTATTTTTATATTTTAAAATATTTTATGTTATTCTCTGGGCTGTAGTTGATACTGTTGTATTGATTGGATTTTATTTATACAAACAAACACATCCATGACATTGGATTGCACAGGTGTGTCTAATAAACTTTTAACTGTGCATTTTGGAAAATATTTTTGAAATCCTCACAATAGGACTGATGATTTCCAATGTTCATATTTCTTTGTTTTAGGGCTCGTAAAAATCAAAGAGGCAAACGACATCGAGGAGAAACTAAACGAGGTGGAAAGACTACTGAAGAATGCTATAAACATGCCATGCAAGGTCGGTCATTCAAATATTATGAGTACTTTATTAGCATATTCACTGTGCATTAGAAAGTTTACATTGCGAGTAAGAGGTAGATGTTTGGAAACGTGCAACTATGCAGACTAAATGACTAAAAACCAGACTCACTCACAGTATTCCCGGTCAGAGGTGATGCTGACTTTCTTTGAGCGATCGCCGCTGGACCAGGTGCTGAGGAATGACAAAGTCCACAGAATCCAGCCGTGCTTTCAGAGTCCAATCAAGATATCAGGTATACACATCTACAATTATTTTGTAACAGAGTAAAGATGGAGCTAATGTTGACCTAATGTCATGTTGACTTAACAAATAGCACTCTGTACCTTTTAGAAATCATGCGCTCCAATGGATTCTGTCTGGCCAATACGGAAACCATCGTATTTGATCACAATCTCCCAGAAGAAAAAGAGAGACCCTCATCCACTGACTCTGTGGAACATACGTGAGTATGAGGACCAATCCACATTACTTCTGTCATTGTCGTGTTGGCGCTTTCATAGATTAGATTACTAATTGTTTCAATCATTAAATCCATCAGCAAGCTTGTTGCAGTGTAACACAATTTACCTGCTTGTTGTACACAAATATAAGGATTTCCACGTTAGCTCTTGAGTATATACTAAGTGTTTTGGTGAGTGTGGGAGTCCTTCAATGTGAACCAAACACAGGACCCTCCACCCACGCAGGAAGTGTGTCTGTGCACCTCTTCCTTCCCTGGGTGTGTGTAGGAAGCAAAAGAGGAACACATTCCTCTTGGTACTTCACTCAAAACAACACTTTATATCACTCTTACATAGCTGAAATGTTTTACTACTGCAATACTCTGACTTTGTACTAACAAATAAAGTCTCTATGGGTTGATATAGACAATCAACACAATCAAATGCATCACACTTTTGATATCTAAATTAAACTACACAGGTCCATCCTGTCCTTGGAGTAACGTGTCTTTCATTTTATTGCCAGGTATGAGGATGGAACAGAGTTTTTGCCAATGGAAGCAGATGTGTGTGATGAGGAAACAGAAGCATATGTCACCAACCTTTCCTACTACCATCTTGTCCCATTTGAAACTGACATCCTGGAATGAGGAACCGATGGCTGTTGATGGACGTATGTCGCTGTCATTGAGGAGCATGTACTCTTAAATGGAACCTAGCTATGCAACGCTGCACATAGCTGTTCCAAGTAAATGCTGCTTATTCTAGAGACCCCTAGAGTTGCTTACATTTCTTTAGCCGATTTTGGAGTTGGGCAGATCTACAGGATGCACCAAAATGTTGCAGAAGAAGAATCCAACCGCAGCACCACTTTGTTTTTGCCACTTTAAGCGACGCCACCAGTGTGCCTCATTCGGAGCCTTACTTGACTTGACTTTCAGGTATTGTAACACAACCTGTGGCAGCAACGATGGAGGTCTTTCAGTCATTAGGCAGATGCAAACAGCTGGAGAGGTTTTTAAACATGCTGCTTTACCACTTCAAAAGACTTTAAATAGCATCAAAGACATCATTGTCTGTAGTTTGGAGTGTGACTGCAACCAGAGGGCTGCACATCAACTGAACTTTGGAGGCAAATTTACACTATTGGACCATTCACTGTTACTTAAAGTTATTAATTAACCGGCACTCTTTCATTTTCTATCTTAGTTGTTTTGTCTTTATTCTCTAGAGGATCTCCATGATGCCACTGGCCTGGTTGATATATGTGAGATATGTGAGATATGTGATGCATCTGCAAAGTCTATTGTCTTCTCATTTAAACTGCTCCCTGAAGTGTTATCCACAGTGTTACCACTCTGGTGTTTTTATTCCTGTGGGAACGCAGGAAGCTGTCACAAAGCTTTGTGTATGATATTTGTTTATGGTGCAATTTTCACCAGCATTTAGGAGCATTCTTGTTTGTAAAATACCAGCTTGAAACTCATAGGGAAATTTCTAGTTGTGTTGCTGTGATATGCAGTTAGTTCTTTAGCATGGGAGTACTCTGAGAGCCAAGTGAAACTAGACTGCATGCGTTTGATAAGAGACATACAAATGTGTGAGTTTTTGTCACCGCAAGATAAAAGTAATAAAATTGAGAAGATTTTGTCCAAAGTCTTACTGATTTAGCAGAAAACAAAAACTTGATGGTAAATCGAGCAAGAATAATAAAGCTTTTATGCTAATAGACTCGAAACATGTGGTAGCATAAGCATTAGATACATTTGTTATGTGTATACACAGTATACTGTATATGTGTTTCACTTGGTTCTTGGACCAGTGTCGAATTAAAGAATATAAAACAAATATGTGGCATTATCATTCTGTCACAACTCTCTTTTTCCAAAGTGAGAACTTAATGCTGCCATTTTGAATGTTGGTGATAAGTGTCAGCTTACTGCTCCTGTTGCCATGAGTGATAAAATGGGGCAAAGAAAGCTTTGTTTTTATAGGTCAGTTGAGGTCATATCTGACCCGTTCTGTACGATGACGTGTGTGGGTTCAGTCTGACAGCTGACTGCAGTCTTACTGAATGTGGGAGTCTGCAGCTCAGGCCTGCAACGGGGGAACAAATCCTCTCTTTATCTAAAGAATACAAATGACCTTGCTGTACTAAAACTTTCTATAGGACAAGTTGTGTGAAATAGGCAAACACTTTTTTTTTTATGGGTCCTCCCGCTATAAGGATGTTGCTTTCACTTCTCTTTGCGCCTTTTATGAAACTGTGGAACTCAGTAGAGCATCACATATGTTTTGAATGCAAGTGAAAGGCAAAAAAAGTATATTTGTGTAGGATTAACTATATGGATGTCTATCTGTCATTGTTTTGACATTTTTGTTAATGTTTTGTTGTTAATGTGGATATAATGTAGTTATTGTGGCTTTACAATGTGGGCCAATTGCTTGTGTCCAGTTTTCTGCCCCTCCAAATACAAAGGCATTCAACCCTTGAAATCTTGGCACACAAGGCTACAACAGGACGGTCCTCCGCATGAGTCTATTTAGTAACACAGTCATGATCACCATTCACCCCCTGAGAAAGTACAGCTCTTTCTCACGGTGCAAAACTATTTCTTTGTGTTGTATTCTTTTCTACAAGAATGACATATGGAATTGATGCACATTGTTTGGACATAAAAGTTTGTATTGAGAAAGAAAGAGAAAACAGCATACTTGATTGTAAAGAATAATATTATTCAATACAAATTTTTATTTTCAAGGTCAAATATTCTCTCTTTCAAAGTGCAGTTTGATGTTTAACAAGTCCTGTGTTTAAAGATCAAATATCTATTATCTACCCAGGCTGGGGTAATGCATTATAAATAGTTATGACTAAAATGGTACTCAGCTGATGTAGTTCAGTGGCAAGGGTGAGTAACAAAATGCTTGTACTTGTGTTTCAGTGAATTTTAGAACATATCAACATGCCTATCATGCCGGCCAGGGATGTGAGGATTCAGAGGACGACAGTGCGAGCGATAATATTTTATTTATTTTGTAAACTTCAGCCAAACTCTGTGAAGCTAACCATTCTCTGCCTTGTAATTTCATTTTTATGTGTGCTGTGAGACATGTTTAAGTGTGTAAAAATGACTGAATGAAGATTAATTATAATCTTTGAAAATGAAGTTTATGTGCTAACAAGTTTGATAACTTTAAAGCTATTCATTTTAGATACAAATTATTATTCTCAAAGTTTCTCCAAACAAATATGTTTCCAATAAAAGAAATGTTCATGTGATGTTTTTTTGTGGAAATCATGATTGGAATACATTTAGTGGCAATAAAAGAGGTCCAGAGGCTGTGGAACATAACTAAGTACATTGCTTAGGTACTGTATCTGAGTTCAATTTCAAAGTATTTTATCCTTATACAGTACATCTTCTCTACATTTCAGACTGCATTGTATTTCTTAATTCCCCATGTGTGTCTGACAGCTGTTAAATGTATTGTCTATCACATAGTTGTCTTAGGTTAGGGGCCCACATACAACATAAATACATACGCCCATGTAAGACTCACATAAAATTATACAAACAATTCCATTAATACACAAGAGCAGGTGTGCAAAGCTGTAATAAAAAGTAGTGTCAGTCTATTTGGCTAGAGTTAGTAGTTACTATACAGATTCATCTTTTACATACAAAACATTGTCATCTCATAAAATATAATAAAGTACATAACGGTATGTCAAATAGTTAAAAGTAGACAGGGCCCAAACACTGAAAAATCTCCGAACTCATTGCATGTCAGAGGGTATTGGAAAATAGATTAATTGCATATGTGTTTGGGAATTTGCTCCTCTAAAGTAGCTGGATCCTGCAGCATTTAGTAGTCTTCCCCAATTCTTATTTGAAGACTTTTATTATTTGACTTTATGTTCTGCTGATATGATGCATATTCCTAAATCTGGGTCCAGGTAGTGTGTACTGTAAATCCAGCAGAGTAGTATTGTCTGGAGCGACATCTTGTGGTCAGTATCCCCTTATCCTAATTTAATACAGGTGGTAAAAAAGTTGATTTAATGGGAAATAATAATATAATAATAATAATAATAATAATAATAATATAATAATAATAAACTGTATTTATATAACACTATTAACAACAAAAGTCTTTACAAGACAAAATAAAAATGGAAGCCAAAAAATGTAAACAGTGTACAGTTATATAGCATGGAGCAAAAGGAGCAACACGAGAAAGTGTTAAGTGTAATAAGTGAAATAAAACAACATAAAATAATGTATTTTTAAATTTTAGACTTAAATTATGTGCAGGCGACGGAGTCTGCGTAAATCCGCGCATGCGCAAAAGGTGCCGATTTACTAGCTGTATTTCCTGCTTGCTGTTTTCAGTCGAAGCAATGGCAGAAGTGAAAGCCTCCCTGATTTTTGGCGGTACGTTCACTTTTTATTTAATGTATATTTAACACTAGACTGTACATGTTATACCAGCACCTGTTAAATTGACTCTTGAAGGTCCTGTTGTTGAAACTGTGAAGCAAATTGATGCACTGTTAGCTGGGGTCGACAGCTTTAGCTGGTGATGCTTTGGTCATGAGGTTTCAGGCTGGAGGGCTGGAGAAAAGAGACGGTGCAGCTCTTGTTCACATCAATATAACATGTGCTTTATCTCTGTTTTAAAACTACAGTTGCAGCGGCTTTCCTAAGGCTTTCAGCAGTGCTTGCATTTGTTGAAGATCTAGATGACACGTAAGTGATGCTCTCCCCTGCTTCAACATGTCACCTTCCTGCCACTGTCACACTATAGCATGATCATGCAGTGCAACTTCCGAGTGTAACAGCGGACTTGATGTGATTGCAAATCAGAGTTTAGATGAGAAAAACTGGAAAAACATGCAACAAACATTGTTTTTTTTAAAATCCAAACCTTGCATATTTTGTTTGATTGCTGATTTTTAAGGGTTCATCACATTTCCAAAGGATTGCAGTCTTATAAAAAACAGACAAAGGTTGTTCAAAGCCTGAGCAGAAGTCTTGATTCATCTCAGGTTTCCAGCTGCACAGTGGTTTTTAATTGGATGCCTGTGCTGGGAAGTCTGTAGAGATTTTGTCTGTGTGTTTGTGTTTGTGGGATCCTCTAATGGTTCTCTTGTTTTATAATTTAGGGGCTTTTTCTGTAACTTTTTACAACTAATGTACTTATCTCATATCCACATACATGGAGCAATATATTTTTTATGTATAACATGTAACAAGCATCTTGTAATGTGAGTCATTCAGAATACATTATGTGATATAATTAAATTGATCTAGTATTGGCTAAAAGATAAGTACTGTCATTCGTTCTTCTTTTTGACAGATTTAAAGACACCAGAGTGAACGATATCTGGCTGGTTGATGTGAGTCTGACATTATACACACACACACACACACACACACACACACACACACACACACACACACACACAGACAGACAAAGGCACACAAAAATCAGTCTGTGTCCATTGAGCTCAGCTTTAGTTTATATCCAGCACGCCACTGTCCGGCTCATCCCCCACGGAAGTGGCAGCAGTTAGGGTGGGATGTAGGAGGGCGGGGGCCAGCAGGGCCGTGCAGTCTGTCCTCTGTGTTTGTGATTAGTGAATGAGAAGTCATGCATGCCGGGCAAAGCCCAAGGGCTCTGAGGGGTTTATATCAGAGCTTGTGTCTGGGTCCATATAAGCAAATCTAGCTCTAGCACCTGCTTTCACTCCTAGTTTGGGAGGCAGGAGTGAGTCCTTATGCTGGGAACTTTCACCCTGTGTAACAGTGGTTACATGTTACTATTGTTGTGTTCAGAGCTGAGTAATTATAGAATTATTTTACAACTCAGTTCATAAAGTTCAAATTGGCACTAAATTCTTTCATAGAATCAAATGTCTCATGTAATTTATAAGATGTGTTTCCAGTGACTAACCCACAGAGAATTATCAACGAAATCTGCACCTCTTTTTAGAAGAAGCCTATTATGCTATTAGCCTCGTTTAGCTAATAGTTTTAACTTAGCACATTAACTATGTGGTTTAGTCTCAAATGCTCTTGTCATTCTGTTACCAGGACCTGCCCCAAATGATAAACAATATGTACGCTACCTGCCCAGCACTAAGCGACAAAGTTAGCACTAGCAGGTGAACATAATGAAGCAGTTAAAGAGTCAGATTTCCCTCAGGATTTGGTGGAGACCAAACAGAGCTAAAAGGGAGTAATTCTTTGACTTGCATTGGTCAGGTGGCCAGAACAATGACTCCAAATTAATGATAATGTTTCTGTCTGCTAGATGTGTAAATAGACAATTCTTTGCTAAAATGTTAGCTATGACAGCTTTAAAGGTGTATGACAGGGTGGCATATGGATTAGCTTTTTTTGGAATACCTTTGTCCCCAAGTGGCCAAAAAAAACCCAGAAGAATGTAGCCTTTAAGCCAAAATTGAGATTTGTGTACCGTAGGTATTTGTAGCTAGCTGGTCTTAGGTGGAAATGGCATGCTGCTGGTAACCTCTTGGGAGCACCAGTGGTTTCTAAAAGTCTACAAGTTGCTTGTATATCGATGAACCTGATCATCGCCTGAATCTAGAGCTCCCCTCTGCTTTCCAGAACTTTATAGTGAGTTTCAGTCATTGTTTAACTGTACGGGCACAAGATTACAGTTTTGGTTCACTCTCACTGCAACTTTTTTTGGCAGTAGCAAACAGTTGCTGGTTTTTTATTTTTTTTTGCAAAAAAGCTCTAAAAACCCACTGTACACTACCAAACAGCAGACAGACACAGTTAGTCTAGCTGCGGGACATAGTGCAGTATTAAGCAACTAAATTGCCAGATATTTCCCTTGTAGCCAGGGTTGGTGAGGAGCAAAACAGAGTTAAAAGAGAGTGAATATTGGACTTGCATTAATCAGGTGGCCAGTATCAACTTTACATCTTGTTTCTGCTGCTCCCAAGTGGCCTAAAAAAAAAGAGTTGTTACAAGATAGCCCTTTATCTGCACCGGTTTGCACCAGCTGTGTTTAAGTTCTCTCCTAAGTTAGGGTGTAAAATCGACACTAGAGGCTTAGTAACTACTAGTTAGTTTATAACTAAATCAGCTACTAAAATTGGTTGCACTACAGTTACTTGGGGCTTAATCTAACTAGTTTGGCATGAACCACTTGGCATCGTAGTACATCGTAGTAAACTAGATCATAAATTAGGATTACCGTGGTGCAAAATGACAATTATGCTATGTGGCAGAAAGAAGTGTTTTTCCATATTTACAGATACCCGGGGCATGTGTGACTATTTAGTGGTTACTTTCAGAGATGTTGTTACTCATCTCTCTGTGGTTCAATCGCTTTTATTTTTGTATTGCATAAATTCCAATTTCGTAATAAATTATGTTATAACAATGCTAAGTTTGAACTTATTCTAAGCAGTCCTAGTTAATCCGTGCATTCAAATGAACCCCACGTTTGTGAATTTCAGTTTTGTACATGAAAAATACATCCATACCATACCAAATACATACCACAGGTCATACACAATATCAGGTAGTCTTTCAAAGTACAATAGTGAGAACAACACTGCTCAAAAACAGTTTTAAAAACAGGTCATAAACACAAAATTGTTAGACAGAAATTTTAATCCATTACACAATTAACAACATTAAACAACAGCGCTACAGATTTGCTTGTTGTCCTTTTTAAAAAGTACCACTGTCAAATGAGGTGAAACTCAGATTGGTTAATGTTGTATTTTCCCTTGTGTAAGATGAAATGGAAGGAAAAATAAAGAATTTATATTGTTTTTTAATATTCAACCCTGGTACTCACTTCAAATTCAGCACAGTAACTTACAAAGATATATGTGCATGATTATACATAATGTTGATATGTTGCACATGATCTAAAGATTTCTTTCTTCTCCTGGTTATTTTCAGTTCTATGCACCGTGGTGCGGCTACTGTAAAAAACTAGAGCCAGTGTGGCATGATGTGGGAGTTGAGCTGAAGACCTCCGGGTCACCGGTCCGTGTGGGAAAGATGGATGCCACTGCTTACTCTGGTGAGTAAATGATGAAGCACTGAAATGTCTTTCCATGGAGCCTTTTTGTCCCCAGATTATTATTTCATATGCTAGAGACAGATTCAACATAATTTACTGTGTTGTTCCACAACATGATGATGTCCTGTATGTTAACAGGTATTATACAGTATTATAAGCAGCATTAAATAATGTTGATGGATGTTGAATATTTTTAATATTATTGAACATAGTAAATGTTTCAGGCTCATTTTCCTGATTTTTGTCTGAAATTAAGAAGATCTATGAACCCTTTAAGAAGATGAGAACTGGATAGTTAAAACCGTTGAAGGGAAAGACATATTTTGCTTGAGCTGCTATGTTTGTTTTCTATATTGCAGGAATGGCATCAGAGTTCGGTGTTCGTGGTTACCCCACAATAAAACTGTAAGTGACATTTCTTTCAAATTACTCTGTCCTAACTTTAATTAAAATTGACATTTGACAACATTTGAACTTATAAGACGTAGCTCACTGTTTACTTTGATTAAAAACTTTTTTAAAATATTTTAAATACCACTGTAACCATGCGCAATTTTCACTTCTTTTGCCAATTGCTGTAATTTTAGAGAAATCCATTTTAAATTAAATTGTAGAATTTTGTATGGATCGACAGGGTCTGGACACAGTATGATAATGAGTCCTATACAATATATCTGCAGAGCACACCATTTCTCTGATGTTCAGTATTTGTGAAGCCTGTGCAAGAAAGACATTGATTCAACTTTATAATTGGTCTTGTATTATCTTATGTGGTCTACTGTAGACATTATATTTGCTTCTGTACCCTCACCTCCCATATCTCAAGGGTCTTTACTTACGTTTGTGTTGTGTTATTATTAGGATCCTTTTACCCCTCTGTTTACCCCACTTTTTCCCCTTGAGGTTTGGCCTGTTGAGATACCCCTAGATGACTTATTCAGGAGGGAAGAATGTGTTGTTGCAGCGTCCTTAAGGCATAACTAAGTGACAAACTCTGTTCACACCTTTTGAGCTTAAATTTGATTATGTTCAGCTCTGTTGCCTTTAATTATAATTTTGTTTGGGCAATAAACTCTTTAAACTCAACTTTAGCTATTTAAATTTAAGTTTGCCTCTTTCTTATATTTTTATTTTTTTCACTTAAATTTATCTTGTGATTTATTAATTAACAAATCGAGAGTGTTTGATACCATATCTCAGCGGTCGGCAATAGGCGCCCCGCGGCCAGATTGCTTTGATAGCAGAAAAAAAAAAAAAAAAAATTGATAACGGCTTGTGCTGAAATAGATCTGTCATGACAGCAACAGTTACATAGCTCACATAACCACTTCCTCTTAAGTGATTGTGCCTCTAAAATAAAAGCGCAAGAACGTCTTTTGCAGCAATGCTTCATGTCAAGTTTATTAAGAGCTTTTACTTTGAAGAGTTCAGAAGGACAATTCAAAAGAGTCTCTGGCTTGCTTGAAACACCTCTGTAAAAGCTGTCAGTAATGAATTTTCTCAGGGAAATGAAAATAAGTGTCCATAGGTTTATGAATGCAGAACAAACGCCGGAACGCGCACACACTGCAGCACATGCTTTATGTGAGCATCTGCAAAAGTGTCCTTTTATTCAATTTGTTTAACAAGGGAGAAAAAAATATCCACAATAAGATGGAATCCATCTCATTATCTAGCCATCGGGAGTCCCGCACAGTACCGACTGAGCTTAAGGTGCACATGATTTTGCATGTTTTGACTTTGTTCTGGCCCACCATATAACGGCTTGGAAAAACCAGACTTATTTGCCGACCCCTGCCATATCTACTATATCAACTGTGATTTTTGGCATGTATCTCATCACTTCTTTCTTAAAGTGCAAGTGGCATTTTTCTAATAAAATGAATAAATCGCCAGCTGCTCAACAGCAGAACTCATGTTGACTTGAGAGAAATGATCATCCTACATAGCAGAGTTTCCTCATATATTTGAAACAGAATCATTTATATCTGCACGCTGCCATAACAGGCTTCCCATTTAGTTTCATCAAGCTCATTTGGGAAAGTGCCACAGGATCACGGCAGGGTTCATAACATTAAACCAAGCAAGTGATGAAACATCCATCCAAGAACACCATATACCTCCCTCTGAGACAGAGGGAGACTTGATTTAGAGCCCTGTTTCCCCCTGAGTTCATTAAGCCCTGTGGGCTGATGCAACCTTAGCAATCCTTAATGCATTCTGCTTGTTGTAGGAACTCAACTCGAGCAGTTTCCTTGGCTGGAGCTCAGCATCATTTGTTTAGTTTTTTCATTGGAGGTGCGGTGATTTAGATTATCTTGACTTTTGAGGTGAAAAGTATTTTTCTGGTGGATTTTCTGTTTTACCAGAACATCTTGTAAGAGACGGGTTATTGATTATTTTCATTGTCGATTAATCTTTTGATTATTTTTTGGACTATTTGATAATTTAGTCTATGAAATGTAATAAAAAAAAAACATGTGAATGATGGCTCTGATAAGTTTGAAGTGACAAATTCTGTTTACAATAAAAGGCCACTTTACTAGGTACACCTGCTTGTTAATGCATCGATTCAGCCAGTCATTTGGCAGCAACTCCATCCATAAAAGGATGCAGGCATGGTCAAGAGGTTCAGATGTTCTTCAGACCGAACTTCAGAATGGGCAAAAAATGTGATCGAAGTGATTTTGACTGTGGAATGATTGTTGTTACCAGACAGGGTGGTATGCTGCTGATCTCCTGGGATTTTTATGCATAGCAGTCGCTAGATTTTACAGAGTAATGTTTGGAAAAAACAGCAAAGTGGGCGAAAGTGTCTCATTGAAGTTAGAGGAGAATTGCCTGACTGGTTCAAGCTGACATAAAAGGCGACAGTAACTCAAATAACTGAACGTTTCAACAGTGCCATGATGAAGAGCATCTCTGAATGCACAGTAAGTTGAACTTTGAAGTGAACGGGCTACAGCAGACACACCGGGTTCCTCTCTTGTCAGCTAAGACCAGGAAACTGAGGCTACAGTTACCATGGCTTCACCAAAATGCAACATGGATCCATGGATCCATCCTGCCTTGTTTAATACCACTTAATGCCAATTGTGCATTGTTTAAATGCCACAGTCTACCTGAGTATTGTTATTGACCATGTGCATCCCTCACAGAGCAAACATCGTCTTAAGCCAACATGACATTGAATTCAGTGAATTACGATGGTCACCACAGTCACAAGAATTTAACAGAGCACCTTTGGGATGTGGCGGAACAGGAAATTTGCAGCACGAGTGTGCAGCTTCCAAATCTGCAGCAACACATGACCGCATGAACCAGAGTCTCTGAGAAACGTTTCCAGCACAATTCTGACTGTTCTGGGGGCAAAGGGGAGTCCAATACCCAGTATTATAAAGGTGTACTGAACAAAGTGGCCAATGAGCGTTTCAAAACGAGAAAAGCTGCAAATGTTGACATTTGAGAAAACATTAAGTTTCTGTCGATTTGCCTCTGCTGTAATATTCTTTCTCTTTTGTTCACTGAATTTTTTTCTTTCCTGAATGCCAAGTTCAGTGTCACACAATCAATTTCCATTTTATTTTATTTTCACATAGATGTGTCAATCGGCGTCCTCACCGCACAAAACAATGGATGGTGCTGAATGGTTTTACAATTAAAATATCCACCTTGCGCTCGTTTCTCTCTCTGTCCCTCTCAGGTTAAAGGGTGATCTCGCCTATAATTACAAGGGACCAAGGACAAAAGATGATATCGTAGAGTTTGCCAACAGGGTGGCAGGGTAAGTCACAGCCTTCACTCACCGCTTTAAAAAAGAAGTGACATTAAACTGATAAATAAATAGAACGCCCCTTATTCCACAGGAACACATGCTGCACTAATGAGAACCGTCCAAGCAAGCTTATCAGTACAGGCCATATTTGTTTCATAGCTCAATGGATTCCCTCCTGTGATGCTCCAGTTTAAGCCACTGTATCAACTGAGCCTGACAGATTTCTCCTCCTTGAGGGAAATCAGGCTAGAGCCATGACAGAGGGGTTGATCAAAGGCTTGGCATTGATTGGAGTCCAGGGCTGCATGTTGTTGAGTCTCCACTGAGTGGCGCCACAAGCACAGAAATCAAAGACAGAATTGTTGCAGTTTTGACATCAGTTATTACATTAGTGTGCCTTTTTTGCTGAATAGGATTTTACTCATTAAAATGAACTAATTTGTGTGGGTTTTATTTCCCTCTCCAGACCGGCCGTCCGGGCACTCCCCAGCAAGCAGATGTTCGAACACATGATGAAGCGACATGACGTGCTTTTTGTGTATGTCGGCGGGGAGTCTCCCCTCAAAGTAAGCACCTTTTATGTCACCCAGACAAGAATGCTGTTTTATTCTAAGCACCCGGCTTCTTCAGAATTACCACAATGCTATAACTGTATTGATGGAATGATAGAAGCACCAACCTGCTGCTGCTGTAACATATTTTAACAAAGAATAGTTTGTGTGTAAGACCTTGTAGTGTGTCATCCTTTACAGCTGTTTAACACAGATTTATTGAAAGCTGTTGTGTAAATGCTGAAAAGACCCATTTTGCTGTTGCAGGAGAAGTACAATGACGTAGCCTCTGAGCTCATTGTCTACACTTATTTCTTCTCGGCTTCAGAGGACGTCTTTCCAGAGGTGAGGCTTTGAATTTGCATCCTTTTGAGTTTCAGAAAAAAAGTGAAATCACTTGTATTTTTTTTTTTTCATCCCATGTTATTGGAACTCCTGAGTATTATGCATGTTTCTATTCTTGCTGGTTTTCTTGAAAATAAATAATTAATTATTTTAGCATAATCTCTCTGAAACTGCGTACACAGACACCAGACTTTACAGTCTTTACAGTATGCAAAAAAGGTATCAGTTAGCTGCAAAGCCCTGCTGCCAACAGTCTTGTCCCACATTTTGCAGGTGCACATACATTCATGGCGTCATAATGATGGAACTTGGTTTTAAATGAAGTATCTTTTGTGTTTTCAACAGTCAGTAACTTTGCCAGAGCTTCCTGCGGTTGTAGTCTTTAAGGATGGAGCCTACTTTACCTTTAATGGTGAGTATTGTGTTACCCTGTCTTCATCCACTGTTGTCTTGGGTCAGTTTTGTTCCATTAGTTAATAAAAATGGCATAAGAAACAGTTCAAGGGGCCATTTGTGTACTGCTCTTTGTCTTCTTTTGCCATCCTTGTTTTCACTAGCCGTGTCCTCTAGTTTTCCTGTCCCCATTGCTGTTCTTTCATCTTCTTCACCACACTGAGTTATGGTGCGGCAGACCCATCATAAAGCACCCAGGGCTCTGCCCGCTATTTGTGTGTGCAGTGAGGCCAGTGATGTTGTAGTGGTTTGTCTTTGGGGTCGACATACAGTACATAGCAGGCCAGGGTGGAGGGAAGTGAGAGAACAAAGTTTAGGGCAAAGAAACCAGTGCAGAGCTGGTATTGTATACACAGTCATTTCAAGCCAAGAGTCGAATCACTGAAGCAGCCGTCAAGTCTCCGCAAAAAGATCATATTTGACGTAAGAGGTTTAGTGAAGCTACTTTTTTCTGTTGCCCAGTCTTCTCACCGCAACAACACAAGTTCACCACATTCCTCTATGATGTCTTGCATTTTGCTGCTGCTGAGCGCATGCACCGGGAGGCGGAAGCAGAAGCGAAGAGCATCAAGGCACAATGCCAAAACAAAGGGCCCCCAGAAGTGGCTATTGGGCAGGTTTGGTGCACGGTGTAGTGCCCGGAGGACAAAATCCATCTCCGCCGCCGCATGCCAGTTCACGTCTGTCTGCTCTACCTGGCCATTAAGAAAGGGGGGCTTCCTGCACCAGAACTGCAGCAGGAGGGGCTCGCCACAGTAGACCTTGATGACAAAAACTCCACACTCTGCAGAGTCCCCCAGGACCTGGATACGGAGGATGTGGTGAATGTCTAGCATTGCCATGGTGACGGCGTATTAAGCTTGTCAAGGACTGAGAAGGTGAGTAGCATGGCAAAATGACACGGTTGGATCCTTCATCAAATGATGGATCTCTCCTTTCAAGCCTCTAGAAGCTGTAAAAGAAAAGTGCTCCTATTATCGGGGGGGTGAAAAAGGATCAAGAATAATCAAGAGTGTAACTCATTAAGCACTTACCTACAATGACAGCAAAAAATACGTTTCTCCACTGTGCATCAGGGTTAGTAGGTAGTTTGGATTTTCCCTTTTTACCACTTGTGGTTTCCAGCATCTGGTTTCTAACTGAAAAACCCACTGACTGGATTTTGGATATTTAATACATCTCTCGAGGCACCGTATATGGTTTTCTATGATGCTAACTTTGCATGATGTTCGAATGTCAGAAACGGCTTATCGGATATTATTTGGCTAAACTTCGGAGGTGCATTTGCATAGGCATCCAGTGACACTGTTTTATGGCAGACTATGACGGTTATTCATGTTTGTGCATGTAGTATGCTCATATTATATTTTTTATTAGCTGGATTGTTTTTAATTACCAGCTACAGAGGTTGGCACTTCCCGCCTTATACAAGCAACTCTTATCATCTCCCACCCTTGTATTTTTTGTTTGTATGTTTTCTGAGAAGATACAAATTTTAAATACTTCTTAGAATTTCAGAGCACACTCACAAGTCTGAGTTGTTGTGTTTTTTAAAGAATAGATGTCATCAAGCAAAGCCACACTGTCCAAATACGGTCTCTTGCTTTGTGTAAAATGATATTTGATGTATTGTTGTTGAGCTTTGATTGGTTTAGTGCACATCATAAACAGCGGCACCCCCTTTGAAAAGAGCTTTTAAAATATAGTTCAGCGCAGAGGCTCATACATATTTAATAACTCAAATCCTCAGTTTCATGCTGCTATACAGGTCTGCGATGTTATTGTGTTTCAAGAGCTAAATGGTTTTGATCATTGTGTGTGTGTGGAGTGAAATCCACTGGGCTACATGTTAGTGCAGTAAAAAGACAAAAAAAAATGTAATGAGTATGTATGTTAGTCTACACAGCAGGCTATTTGCAAATGCTTCACTCCAGGAATGTGCTTTCAAACATGTTTTTGAGGGTTAATACACATTAGTTAACAATCAGAGCCCAACATCAGGCTTTCTGTTAATCAGTGGTTTATGGTTTGGCCCTGCAGCTTGTATGGAAAGGTATATAGCGCAGCCAACTGTGACTCAACCCTATTTTGCATAGTTTATTGGGAGCGCTTAAATGACAGGCCGATTAACAGTCCCGCAAATGTGATGACAAAATGAGATCACACTTAAAAAGGTGATAACATACTGATGACAGGACACGTAGACAGTATCGGTTATTTAAATTGGCACAAGGTCACTGTGCCAAAAAAGTGCAATTACTAGTGGAGATGCTGCAGTGGCTAAGACACATGTCTTTGGTGGGGGTGTTCGGGTTTGAGTCCCACTGCGACACATCTACCAATGTGTCCCAGAGCAAGACGCTTAACCAGTGGCGTGTGACACATTAGGGCTGGACAATAAAACAATAACAATAATTATGTAATGTAGTCAGTGTTGACCATTAGCATGCTACATTATGCTAATTAGCACTAAACACAAAGGACATCTTAGGCTGATGGGAATGGTTATTTGGTCATAAACCAAAGTATTTGATACATAGAAATGTTCACCTGACAATGGCACTTGAAGATCAGTCAGAGGAGTTGGACAGGAGAGGGACATGAATATAAGTATCCAATAGTCGTTGAGATGTTCCACTCAAAAATTTCACAAATGTCAACCTCATGGTGGCACTAGAAGAAAAGTCAGGGGATCGCCAAAGTCAGAAGGATACATCCTCTGGGGTCCCTGAAAGTCTGCACAAAATGCCCCGACAAACCCAAAGTGAAACAAAGTTCACTTTCTTTTTTTAATATCGTAAGAAAGCGATACGTCCTGTCATTTTGCTGTTAAACACAGCCATCTTTTCATCCTCTGCCACCTTTTGTGTCTCACCCTGTTTGAATTATCTTTGACGATATTACCTCTCTCCTCTTCTCTGTCTCTCCATCTGATTTTGTTTCTACGCTATCTCCATCGTCTTGGAGGTCTCCTGCGCCATTAACCTTCATCCTTGAAATGTGTCGGAGCTTCCTCCTCCCTCCGCTCAAAACTCTGACACTGGATCATCCTCACTGTCTGTTTCTATTCCCCCTCCTGCCCCTCATCTTTCTCTCTTCTTGTCTCCCGCTGTGTGAACTCTGGGCTGACAGGCTCCTGTAGGGCAGTATGGAGATTGCGAGGTTGGCGCCCAGGAAGAGAGCAGCTCTAATTTGTCTCAAGGTTGAAGCAGGTTCAGATGGTGTAGAGGTTCACTGGGCTGTACGCTCCCAGCATGCGGCCTTCAGCTCTCTCTCTCTCGCTTCTCAAAGAACAGAGTCGCGCAGCTGCATGCTGTCTATAAAGCCAAACACATCTGTGGAAAGAACACTGTGGAATGTCTACCAGATCGACTGACTCAGCAGCCTTAACAAAAACACTGCTCTGCTTTTGCACAGCAGCAGCTCTGAGAAATAGAGTGCATTGCAGGTCATTTTGGATCTAATACTAGTATAAGCTACGACCTTGGGGGTTTAAAAGCGTGCTCAGGTTTTAGGTTGTCATGTTCTGTATTATACTACCAGCTCCTTTGGGGGCCTGGAGCTTAAGAACCATGTAAAAGTCATCAGTGTTCTTGTAATTATTGTAATCGTGGCAGAAAGGTCACAAAAACGTATTAACATGTCATAATGAGGTTCCAGCTACATTTGACATCAATTATGAGCATCCCGTAGCCTCTCTCAACCGGAGAAAACAATGTTGTTGAAGCAACCTCACTACACCTTGTTTATACCCTGGAGGGACAGACTCTGGTTCCCGTTTGCATGTTGCCTCCAGATGTGAGGCTAGCAACAACATGTGGCTCTCCTTCAGGAAGCAATCCTTTATTTTATGTCAGCTTATTTTTTATTCATTTGTTAACCTTTTTTGCTTGTCATGTCTGTGTAATTATGCATTTGCTCCAAATGTGTAAAGATCTGCCAAAACTGTGACCTAAAAATGAATGGAGGTATCTGTGGAGAATCATTTACAAAGCAAATGTGTGGGGTTTTTTTGAAGACAGAATGGCATAATAGTTGTAAAAATGAGGTCAGGTGAGCCAGCGTCCCAGAATAAAACAGCATTTATAGTGAATGAAAATTACAGTTTTTTTAAAAAAATATAGTAAAATAATCTTTTACAACCTTTTATGTGGACAAACCAGACAGAACAAATCTTCTTTTATTTATGTCTTGCAACCAAACTGATACTTTGATTATGTACCTCTGGATTGATTGTGACTCAATCTATTGTGCTGTTTCAGATCCAAAATAGCCTCCCTGACTACTTAACCCAGAGGCAGCCCTCTGTCAAAACAATGTCTGATGATTGTTTAACTGACCTCTATGACTGCTCAGCTTGTGTCCCACTCTTTATTCCCTAGGGAGTGTACAGGTGGTAAACACTGTGATCTTCTTACAATCCAGGCATCAATACACTGCTCTGCTTTGCTTTTAATATTGACAGGTTGTGTGCTGAATGTCAATAGGCTTTTTTTGTGCTTCTGCTTCTGAAAGTTTCTGTCTCTTTGTGTTGCAGAGTACGAAGATGTTAGTTTGTCATCATGGGTGAACAAGGAGCGCTTTCAAGGATACCTTCAGATTGACGGCTTTACACTGTATGAGCTTGGAGAAACAGGTGGCGTATGCATACACTTTGTCATCCATGATGGAACTGTGAAATTGACAGTTTATGTATAGATTTTGTTTATCATTCTCCAAAACTGTATCTTATCATGACTTGTTGTTCCAAATACCCATTAATGATTTATATAGTAGTTTTATTCCAGATGTATAGTTTAATTTTAGGGCTGCAACAAACTATTATTTTCAAGGTGAACAGTCCAAAACCCAAAAGATATCAGACAAAGAAATGTAGCAAATCCTCATATTTGAAAAGCTTTGCTTAAAAAATCACTTAAACGATTGTAGAAATAGTTGCCAATTCATTTTCTATTAGCCAATAGATCAATAGACTGATTTTTTCAGCTCTGTTTTGTTTTCAAACATTTTAAATGTCTGTGTTTGGTTAATTGTGAGCATAATCTGTGTGATTTCTTTTTTTTGTTGCATATACTTTTTACTCTTAATTATTATGGATCCAACGTCAAATAGTCAACATTTTTAAATTATAAGATGATAGGACCAGGATGTATAATTTGAAGTGCATCAGCATTAGGGCTGTCGTGGTGAAGTAATTTACCCCGCGGTAATATGTTGGGGCTCAATGAAGTAATTTGGTGCCATATCTCATAGTAAGAGTGTCTGATCTCACCTCACTGCACAGCGAGCCGCTAACAACAACTTTATGGTCGGAGCAAGCTAGCTACTGGGTGCTTGTCAACAACATTGCCAAGCAAACTCATTTTTGTAGTTTGACCGTGTCTTTTTCATACGCAACGTTAGCTATATCGTTACATTCAGGGCTTGTCTATCGAGTCAATTTACATACCGCAGCAACGCGCGCGTGCACACCCACCCACACACACCGGTGTGGAGCAGAATGGGCTGTACACAGTTAACCACTGCGCTGTAGCAACATTATAACTAAATTTCCACAGAAAGCAACATTAAAAACAGCTGCAGGCAAACCGACGCACTACGCTCGTTAGTTAGTGAGCTTGAGATGAGGTTTACCGTTTCTCCCTCTGGATTATGTTAGTCCAACATCGCTGAGCCTGCTAGCCACATCAGCCGCACAATATGCTAACGCCAAGTTCGCTAACCTTTAAAATAAACAGTAAAACAACACAAAACACAGCAACACTTACAGCTTCCAACTTTGAAGTCAGGTCAAGTACACGTCCTTGAGCTGTGACAGAGCTCGTGACTTTTGAAGCACTAATTTATTCATTTAACACGCCCTGAAGTGTAAAGTATGAACATTGCGGTTGTTGAGGTGCTTGCCATCCACCGTTGGTAAGCTTGACCGGTATTTCAATTTAGCGGTTATCGCGACAGCCCTATTCGTCAAACGGCTTGTCCCTTCAATTCTATTTAACACTAAAATCCCTCATATTTAGTTTACCACCCCCGAAAATATATCCAGTCTACAGAGGGATGACTTACAATTAAAAACAAGACATTTTAGAGATGTTCTTGTCAAAAGCTCCATGTAAAAATATCAGCATTGCATTATTGGGCCTGTGATAGAAAAGACTGTCCCCATCTAGATCTTCCATCTCGATTTAGACCATGTTGCTGTACTTGTTCAAATGTACACACACTTTCTCTCCCCGCAGGAAATTTAAGCTCAAGAGTGAAACACAAACTGTCTCTTAAAGGCAGCAAATTGATTATCTGTGCAAAGAAAGCTAATATTAGATGCAGTATTTGACCTCTTTGTGTGCTGTTTACTGAGACCAGTGTTGCTCAACGGTTGGATTTTGCTTACATTTGTTGCTGTTTACAGTCAATTTTTTAACCCATTGATATCAACTTTGCTGCTTAGTATTGGTAGTTCTGGACACAAAGTAATCTTTGAAGTATTTTAATTGGATAAACACTGAGTGACTGATTAAGTGGTTTAAAGCTCTAAAGCCCCATCACACACTGACACAAAACCGTGTACCCATGTCTAAATACCAGTGTAACCAAAATCAATGAATAGTCTCAAGATGTAATTTCGATCCATCTCAAGGGTTAGCAGCATATGGAAAACAAAATCTATTTGACAGACTCACAGTACAACAGTTTTTGTGTTCTCTGTGGAGCACAGAAACATTGTTCTATACGCTGTTCTATAGAGGCAAAGAGTGGATTGAACATCTGGTAACCACAATACAAACATCCATTGTAAAAGAGAGTCTACACTGTACAATTTTATTTATATATATATATGTAGCCACTGCCTTTACATAACCTCAGCCTTGCAACGTAACCGCAATCTGTGAACACCAGGGGGCAGGCTGGTACTCTCATCCAAGCAACAAGGGGTTTCTGGCCTCAAACCATACAAGTCTGAATAGCAGGCCTTTTAAGTTGTGTAACAGTTTTTTTTAAGTAGATCTATTTGTCATGTCATGGGTTCGGGTTTTGAATGGCACTGAAATAGCTCCTCTACCAGAAAGTGACCACTTGTTTCCTGTTAAACCAAGTAGAAAGCTTATGCTAGCTTAATGTTTGAGTGGTGAATGAATAAAGCGCACTCGGTGCCTCTTTCTTTCTTTTTCCCCTGCTGAGAGGCGATTTGTCTGCTCTGGAGCCTGATGTTGTCTTCTCGCCCTCTTTTTGTGTGTGTGATTGTGATTTGTAATCCTTGTCTGCCACCCCAGGCAAATTGGTGGCGATTGCAGTCATCGATGAGAAGGGCCCCACAGAGGAGAGTGGCAGGTACAAAGAACACTGAAATTAAAATGCATGGCTGTATATAAATGACTCCCATACACTCCCACGGTTACCACAATAGATCCGCTTAAGTGCAAGGCTTTCAAATAGAGATAAGACTTGCTGTTATTGTTTGGATCTTCCCACAAATTGCAGGCACCGGCTAAAAAAAGGGTAGACTCATGTGGCATTTCACTCTCTTCTCATTTGCTTTTAGATTAAAGACCTTGATTCAGAGGGTGGCGAAGGAATACAGAGAACATTTTAACAGGTAAGGCACGGATACGCGATGAGGTGAACGATGAACATCCAATTTATACATTTATTCTGGGATGGTGCACTCACTGGGGAACGCTGCCTGTCTATTCACAAGCAAGTTTATGCCTTTGTCAGGGCACGTCTGTTTTGGTTGAGGTTCAGTAGAAAGGTGATTATGCAAAATGTCAGCTTCCAAATATAGGTGTTCTTTTCAGCTGTCAGTCAAAAAGTCAGCTCCATTTGTATTAATGCATCATTTTCTGTTTTCCCCAGCTCCAATTGTGCAGTAACAGCTGGAGATGTACTGTACTGCCTTGTTCTTTAACTGGAGAGGGACCAATTTAACAAGGCACTGAATGCCAAAAGGAACTGCACTCAAAATGTATAATTTCATAACGGCATTATTGTTATTGATGCTGTTTGTGGTGGAAAGCAGAGATGATGCAAGAGCACAGACACCCTAATGTTTAACACACATGCGTATGTGCACGGCAGCATGATATAGTGAGTACAGTAGGTAGGTCATCCTTCACCTGGAGGACCCAGTTTAAAACAAACGTGGGCTTTGCTGAAGTGGCTTTAAATTAAAATACGCTCTAAGGACGCTGTTCTGTAGCTGACCCCTATCTGATCAATCCCAGTAGGGTGGCAGGCAACAAGAGGATTTCCTTAAAGGGATTAATAAAAATAAAAAAAGTACCACATTTTTATCATTAAGTTCCTTACTGTGCTCCATCATTGACCGTGTTGCCTCATCAGATAGATTTCTGCTTTTGAATAAGAGGTGTATCTCAAACCGCCCTGATAAAGGTTTTTCTCCCCCTGCAGGAATTCCCATTAGGACTGATTGAATTACACAGATCCCTATCTGATCCAATTAGGCTACTATCTGCCACCCTACCCGATACTGGTGTTTTATTTTTTGAAGAATTCTGTGTTTGAGATCCCCACTGAGATCAGAGCTGCCTGCAGTTTTCTGCCACACCTGAACGCTACTTGTAATCACAAGTCGCAGGCTTGAGTGTCGCCCCCGGTGGTGGGTGGAAGCAAGCGCACAGAGTCAACGGATCATAGGTGATGACTGACATTTGAATGAGCTGACAGCGTTTGAGGCAGTAATGAATGTCGCAACATTCAGCTCACCCACCATTTGTAGCATTTTGACAGAACAGTGAATGCAAATCTCACATCTGAGGGAGCGAGTCTCCCTGTGGGTGCAGAAAAAGGCACATCCATAATTGTGGGAAAGTCTGATTTTGTCAGGTGGTGGGTGTGTGTTGGGTTAAAATTCTGCACCAGTCATTATTGTCTTGGCTTTTATGTGCCAGTTGCTGCACAGAAAGTTGGTGCAACAAGATGAGATTAGACAAGAAGCCTTGTCACAAAGAGCCTCTTCACAAACTGAAACCTTTGACCCATGAATTTCTGTCCATAAATGTTTCAGGACTCTCTTGGTTTCAGATTGTACTTACGATTAGATGTTAAGAAACATTTCTAAAATTTCAGAACACTTTCAGAACATCTTAAAGCTGGACTAATCAATATTTTTATGTTTACAATTGATTAAATATGGATGAATCTGCAGAGAATTATCACTCGATTCTGCAGTTCCCCTCAGCTCAACTGTGCTGAAACTTTACTGTTTTGGCAGCTGTTCTCAGTGTAAAAAAAATACAACTTTCATAAACCCTCTGTTGCTACCAACAACCAACTGGAAAAATTGTTAGCGACTAGCTGGTGAACATACTGGAGTATTTAGCAGCTGAAGAGCCAGATATTTAGATGGTGAAGACTAAAACAGAGCTAATGAAAGCTAATGTTATAAACCGTTCGCTAACATATTCGGCACATCAACTTCATGATGTCAACATTGCATTTACAGCTTGTTATGCTGTACCAAGTGGTGAAAATAAATAAATGAATACAGATATAACATTTTAAAGCCACTATAAATTAAAAAATTGCCTACTTTGGCGCATCCCCAGTGTTAGTATTAAAACAGACACAGCATTGCAAGCCAATTCCCTATCCCCTTATTGGCTCTTTCTTTTCTTTTTATAACGGAGACCATGTGTATAATTTGAGATTCTTAAATCATGTAAAAATATTATAGAGTGTTGCCTTAAGTTTGGTGATTTGTAATATTGCATGTGCTGATATGCGATTTAAAACATATGTGATTTTTCTCCCTATACCCTAGTATTTATTAATTTTCAGCAAAGACACCTTTTATTTTAGATTTATTTTAAAGCCTGCTGGTGACGAGGGTGACATGATATCCCTATGGAATATTCTTGCCTTTTATAATTTCACAATGGCTATAAAGCCATTCACTTTACCCAGAATATAAATTCTGTTGAAATCTTTTCTTCAGAAAGCACGCTTCTCTTCATGAGAACCACAGGACATGACTGATAATTTCAGTAAATATCTACCTTACTTGGAAACATTTCGTAATTTAAATGAATAACTTAGTCACTTGAGAAAATATCCACTTCTTGAAAAATCTGAAAGTAATTACCAGAAAAAAAGTTTCACATTCTTACCCTCAGTTTGCTCCGTGCCTGCTCTCACACATGCAAGTGTCTCAGTTAGTTACTCACCTCTCTTGGCCGGTCTGCTCGGCGGTCTGGCCAAGAAGTGTCAGTGTGAGTGGGAAGATGGAAATACACGGGAAACAGAACTGTAAATATTTAAGTTATTGAGTAGGGAAAGTATTAACAGCAAAGTAAGTAAATCTTGGACACATACAGACACTATGTCTGATCCATAAGTCACAGTGCTGCAGCTTTCAGAGCAAAAGTTGCAAAAAGACTTTTTGATGAGCTTTATTCCCAGTCTGGCCCACTCTTGCCAGCTCAAGAATTTCACCAAGGCAGACTGATTTTATATTTCATCCACCGGATTTATTATATAGTTGAGTCTCTTCATAATCGTGTCATTGATATAAGCGTAGGCAGTATTGTGTAACACCGAGGGGACAAACATGGTAGATGTAGCTATGATTCAAAATGAATATAATATATATGTAAAGGCCCACATAATCAGTCATTCAGTGGAAGTCACTGGCTTCCCTGGACTTGTGCAACCCCCCCTCCCTAGTCTATCCACAGTACACTCTGCTCAGACATAGTACAGCACAATGACATACAGATTGAATTCCTCCTCCTGCCTTATCATTTAGATAAATCACAAGTCTTTTTATGCGCTGGGAAAGATGAGGACAAACAGGAGCCAGCATAGGATGGAGCTTGCGGTATATTTTATTTTTGTGCAGTGACAAAAGTGATCCCAGTTTTCAGCAGAGACAACATGCGATTCCATTTCATGTGGTTTCATAGGTGTGTTGTTTGGCAGGAAGGTTGGCATCCCAGTTTTATGCAGTCCACTGAGATAAGAAAAAAGCGCTCACTGTTACTGTATTGAATGTTGTTTTTGATGCGCTGTTCGTCTTTGTCTTGCATCCCCAGAGACTTCCAGTTTGGCCACATGGACGGGAATGACTACATTAACAGCCTCATTATGGGGTGAGTGTCTCACATCCAGCCTTACCTCTCTGTTCTCATGTCATCCTCCTCTTTCTCTGCCTCACATTACCCGCTGTCAGCTACTTGAACAGGTCTGAGCTGACTTGTAATGCCAGCCTCTGCCATTAAAGATGCTCCCTTGCTGAGAAGTCAATTACACAGAGGCACTGTCATTTCTGTTTTAGTTCCCTTGGGAGTTTTAACCCCCCACCATCACTCACACATGCATATGAAAAAGCACAAGCTGCTTCAAATCTGCTAGTGGAAGGGCAGGATAGTAAGAGGAATATATGAGGAATTTATGGATAAGGCTATGTATGGATTAGATCTATTGCGGTCATGTGTTTTTAATAGCTTGTCAGAGAGCAGCACTAATGATGCAGAGAGCCCTTGTGCAGTAGCTTTGCGCCGACTGTTGGTGTGTCTTGCTCTGAGAGGCCCTGCAACTGACATCCCACACTTTTAATTAGAAACGACCCTGTTAGTGTTACAGGCCAGCAGGGCTGTAGCAGTTGGTGTGTCTGTTTTGTGTCTACTAATGTACAGTATCTAATTATGTGCCTTTGTACAACGTTGTGTTGTTTGTGTGGGAATCTGCGAGCGTAATAGACCGCTACAGGATGTTATTTTAATTTGAGCATGTTCTTGTTTGTATGAGGGAGATTATAGCAGACATCGTCTCCTAAGTCCTGTGTAATTAAAAGTGTGTCAGTGAATACAGTAGAAGTCATATTTGAAATATGACTACATTCAACTGACAGACTCTCGGTGAACGGCTGAAATTAGACAGTCGGTGTTTATATTTAAGGATAAAAGAGGTGATTAGCCTTCCTAATTTTCTATGAGTACATGCAATATGTATTTCGCTGGGTTTAACAGGACTGAATTTGGCTGCGGTAGCACAGGATTAATTGCCCTCCTTTGAGGAATGAAATCCTGGCCTGTCAATGTCCACTAATTCTCTCCCTTAGGACAGCCATGGAAATAAATCTGATGGCTTTTTATCCCTCTTTCTGTCATCACAGCGATTACTGTGTTCTGGCAGCGGTCTGTCTGGCGTAAGGCTGCCCCTGCTTTCACTGGAAGCACATAGACACAGTCATGAAAACACACACATACAACATGAGCACCACTCTAAGCCTGAGGCTGTTTTGACTCTGTTTAAATGTGGGATTATCGCTAACCCCTGAAAAACTTGGAGATGTGAGGTGACTGAAAAGTTGTGCGTGTGAAGGGAAGGATTGTAATCATAGAAGGTGAATGACTAGAAAGATCATTATTACCACACAAACCAGTGGTCATGTGATTTGTATACTAAAGATTAGGAACATTTATTGTGGAAATTTAGTATAACTTGAATACCGCTTCCACAGCTGACAAAGTCCCAGCTCAAATGCAAATAAAGTGGATTTCTGTTCACTTCCGTGATTCTATTGTTTTTCAGTGTTTAATGTTTTATTTAGAATATGAGGGTTTTTTAAAAGGGGCAAAAACATGCAGGTTTCCCCATGTCCCCATGTGTCCAAAAAGTTACGTGGACACACAGTGATAATCATTATCACAGTTTACAGTTAGGTTTTTAATTAAGTTCTCTTGTAATAATTAAAGCTCAGAAAATGCCTCTGGTAACAGAAAGTGAAAAATTGGGAAAAATAACTACTGGACTGCTGAAACGAGCCAGAGTCCAAAGTACATCAAGAAATAACAACCCCCCCCCCCCTTCATGGGTAAACCACAGATTGTTTGCAATGCATTTTATTTTAAAAATCCAGTTTTCACATTTATTTCAAATCAGTTTGTTTCATTATTGAAAATGTATTGATTTAAAAAAATAGTTCTAACAGTTTATTTTCTTCTCAAGAGTTAGACAAGAAGGTCGACAGCGCTCGCATATCTCTGTTAAGTAAGGCGCTAAAGCCATACAGTTAGCTTACAGTTGCTTAGCATGTTTGCCAATACATTGTTTCACCATGTAACTTCCCTTAAAACCACAAAAAAGTCTAATAAAGGAGATGCAACAAGTTAGTGAGGTGTAGAGGTACTGGTAGGTGAATTTTAACTGAAGTGAGCCAGGCTTTCCCCCTGCTTGAAGTCTTTATGCTAACATAGACTAATGGCCTCCTTGTGCTAGCTCCATAATCAATGCACAGACATGAGAGTGGCATCAATTTTTTCATCTAACTCTCAGCAAGCATATTTCCCACAATGTTGAATTATTCCGTAATTTTTCATGTTAATGCTAAACCTCCTGGTTTTAGCTCCAGACATGAAGCACAGAATTAAGAGTGGTGTAAATTTTATCATCTAATAAGAGGCAAGATGGCAAGTGAGCATATTTACTAAAATGTCAAACTGTTCCTTTGATAATCCAAATAAACATGGATAAAATTCCTGTATGTTTTAAAAATAAAATAAAATAAATAATGAGCCCTAATTATATGGTATCCGTTTTTTAGGAGCAGAAAGGAAGCTATTATTATGTGTGCTTTCCGGCAGTTCTTACTGTATATAGTATAGTATATGACCCTTCATTATGGGCGGCAAACCCCCAGCAGTCTCCACTCACAAAGGTGAAATGGCTAATTCATATTTATTTTAAATAGATGCCATCTGTTGTAGTAGGCTGGATGTCAGATGGAAAACCCATTCACAATGTGTGTGTGTGTGTGTGTGTGTGTGTGTATGTTTGCAGATCTCAGCTGGACAGAGTAGTGGGGCGTTGATCACTCTACTGCATGGGCGTGTGTGTTTTGCACTCCTGATCTCAGCCGGGTGGTGGATTGGGACAGTGATGGATATGTGTGCGTGTGTGTGAAATTTGTTGCCGGGTTGAGTAACACAGCAGGGATGTGAGGTGGCAGCACTGTGATGGACTGTTTGTATGCCTGTGTGTGTGTGTGTGTGTGTGTGTGTCTGTATCTAAGCGGTAGGATACCTTATCTAAGCCAGGGTTTGGTGTTGTGCGAGATGTGTGAAAGAAGGATTTCTTGTTTATATGACCTTGTTTGTTATCTCACTGAGCTTTGTAATTCCTCTGCTGATTTGTTGCAATAAGTAGGCTCCAGAGCGTACAGTGTCTCTGTTTCTGTGCTTTCTGCTGAATGATCACCGGACTACTGGTCTTCTCTGTGTATGTTTTGTGTATGGCTCAGCATGGACCGGAGTTGCCATTTCTTCTGGACTCCCTGCGATTCACTTGTCAGCTGTAATTTGTAAAGGTCTCTTTAAATGTGACCGGCACAAACCCATAAAGCCCCTGAGTTGCACACAGTTTGCATAAAAGATAGAAGAAATGCCACTCTGAAATAGGCCAGGCTGCATCGCCATTTTACTCCGATGGAAAATCCTCCCCTTGAAAGAATGCCTATGGGAAAAGTTAGGTTGCTCTGAGTACAAAGGGGTTATTTATCTCACTATTGTATTCTCTGTGTTACAATTTGTTCTTTACAAAATCACAATTTGTTTCCATCTAATGATGCACTTTGATAATGGCAATCCAAGGTGCTGAGGTTAAGAAGATTAAAATCTGTTTTCTGTTTTTCCCAGCGAAGTGACCGTGCCCTCTGTTATCATCCTCAACACATCCAACGAGCAGTACTTCCTGCCCAGTGAGCCAATTGAGACCATGGAGCAGCTGGTCCAATTCATCAACAGTGTTTTGAACGGTTCTGCACAGGTCCAAATCTTCTCTCTCCTCTCCCCTCTCCTGCTTTCTATTTATGCATTCAGCTCAGTGTAGCTCTTCCCCCTCCTTCCCTTTGTGTTGTACCATTGTAATCACACCAGTAGTCTTCATTAATCAAGCATGTTGCCTTGCATTTTAAGTCCTCCCTGAAAATATTTTCACCAGATGAGGTATTTTTGCAATCTCCTTTTGCATGTTTAGATTTCATATTGCTTGCTGTCCTTTCTGAACAGATTATCTACAATAATTCCGCCTTCTAAGTCAAACACTGAAATTACTACATGACTGTATTGTAGAGTGTACACTAATCTGAAAAAGAAATGTCATCGCTTTCCTTGCACTACACTAAAGTCACCAGATGTATGAAAACGTAAGCCGAACATCCAGAGGTCCTGTCCTTTTTTTTCCCCCAAGAAAGGTCTTGACTATTTTTTGCTTGGCAAAACAAACCACCTCCCACCAAATAAACGGCAACAGAAACCTCCATGTTTCCGCAGTCCAGTTCCTGGCAAAGCCTGGACAGTTTCAGTTCACGTCATGCTACTAATGTCTGTCATGAGGTGTCTCAATTCTGGTTTGTGCTTCATATAGAAATACACAGAATAATGTGATTTAAATGCACAAAATTGCATTTAACATAATGCATATGGTACAAAAAATTAACAATAAGTAATGTTTTTTGGTCTTTCTGGTCATTCTGTGAGTGTGGAGAACTGACTTTTCCCCCACACATAGCTAAAATTGTGTGTGTGAGTATTTTTCATAAGAAGCATGAACATTAAGGTACACAGACGGCGTGTTTAGCCTCGCATGAAGCATGAACCAGCCAGAGGAGGACAGAGTTGACAGGCTGTGGCATCTCTAGCAGGTTTTTAGGGAATAGATGCGTCTTTGAAAGTATATCCCCACTCACTTCTCCTTTGGTACCGGCTGTCTTTGTTTTTAAGTCCTCTATTCTTTGCTATTAAGAAAGAATAACTTACTATAAAATGTTTGGTAAAAACTTTTCAAACTATTTTACAGTCCTCTCACAGCATAACCATAAGTCTGTGCAACAGCTGCTTCTACAGAAATCATCCCATGCCCACCTTCAGCTCATTCACAGTTGTCCTCTTTAGTCATAGCTCACTAATTGGCCATCCTGATGATTTAGTGTCGGGACAGATCACTCATTGGCTGCCCAGGTGCTGTTGCCAATTAATGAGCTCAGGCAGAGTAGAACTGCTGGACAGTGAACAAACTAGAGTGTGGAAATTTTGTGCAGAGAAGCGTTTAATTAAACAATATTTTAACTGTCTGGGATGTGCTAACCATGTGACTACATACCTGAGATTTATATCATTCTGTGTGTGTATTTCGTGACTAGTTTGAAAAGTTTTCATAGACATATTGATAGTTTTTTGCTATTATTAACTGAGGTCGGGATGAAACCCTACCTATGTACTACATAAGTGGTGAAAATATCATATGGATAGACTAGATGCGGTAGCCACTCTGTCTCCATTAAATGATCTGTCTCCCTGCAGGCGTATGGAGGGGATGGCTTCATTCAGAGGATCAAGCGCGTGGCCTTTGATGCGAGATCCACCATTATGGTAAGAGAAGAAGAAATATTCACCGACTGTGTACATGTTGCAGCCTAGAATAAACTAAGCACAATACTTGTTGTTGAAAATGTTATATTACTATCATATATATATTTTTCAATTAGGTGAATTAGTCAGCACTTGTGCTTGAATTAAATGCACATCAGCTTGGATGTAAACCATTTAGCAATAAATAATTGCAAAATAAAAAATCAGTCAAAAATGACAAAAAATGATTTGGCCAAGATGAATTTATGCCTTATTTATGTCTTGTGAACCTCAAATAAAGCCCCAAAACCCCCACACATTTCACATATACTGTATTTAGTTTAAGTTTGAAGGTATTTTTACAAGTAGACATGGCAGTGTAAGTTTAGTTAAAGAGGTCATATTATCTTTTTGTGAATGTAATAGGTATGCAAAGTAAAAAAGCCCAAAGTCCAGCCCATCTCCCACAGAAAACTCTGCTCTGAACTGCCTGAAAACAGCTCGTTTGTAGTCCAGCCGTTTCCCTTTCATCTCTGTGACGACACATCAAAATGCGTGTCATTGTGCTCGCCTAGCGGCTAGTCCGGCACACCCTCAAAAACACCGGTAGAAAAACACTCTGAGCTGCAACACACAGTGACAAGACGTCCGCCTGCTGCCTCTCCTCTCCCTTCCAAACACTTCCAGGCAGTCAGTGGACATAAAGTTGTTACTGTGATGTAGAGACAGAGCTCAGTTGTAACTTTATGGACGAAAGATACATTTGTTACAAATTAATAACTCGCCACTCTGAACCTCTTGCGCCAGTCCATGTTGCTAAGCTGGTAATGGGAACATGTACAGCTGAACCGACGCCATGTTTACCGGCTTCTCACGACCCACCCATCTCTGCTTCTGATGGGCTAGTAGTCCGTAACTAGGAGCTGCGCATGTGCAACTCCCAGCAATGATCTTGTACAGGTGAGATGTATCACTACATAGCTAAAATGAAGCGTTCAACACACAGGGTTAGAAGAGGAGCTGCAGCAATGTGCAGTATGGCAAAAAAGATGGTGTTTTTTAAAAAATTAAACCATGTAAACCTGTTCTGCTACAACCCCTAAATAAGATTTTGAACCTGAAAATCATATCAATCAAAGGCATGTGTCTTCCTCTGTGCCATCATCACCCCCAATATTTGGCTTTTTAGATGCTAAATGCTCTACTGTGTTCCCCAGCTAGTTGCTAACATTGGCTGTGGTTTGGTGCTGGAAAGGTAGCCTGCAATGTGTTCATCAATATAAATATAAATTTAATTTATATAGCACACTTAAAACAACCAAGGTTGACCAAGGTGCATCATAGGTTACAAATACAACAATAAACAGTAATTACACAGTAGAAGTACAGCAATAAAACATTATAATATACAGTATTTGATATATAGTGATATTAAAATTGCCAGTAATAATAAATGACTTAACTCGGAGGAAATGCCAAAGTGTTGAGTGTTGTTGAGAGCGGTGATAGAGAGCCAGAACAGTAACTTTGTCGGCCGTAAACTAAGACCGTGAGTGGATGCTGACAATGAAACGCTCCTTAGACCCAAGGGGAACTGCATACTTGGGTAATAATTCTGATGTACCTCTGTCCTAGGTATTTCATTAGCGCTACAATTAAACAATTCATTATTATGATACTGCTGAACACCTTCTGCTTGTTGATATTCTTCACACCATGCCTCACCTTGACTCTGTTTGCCAGTTTAACTAAAATGCTGTATTTATGCAACCTGCACCAAGTTCAGTAACACTGTCAAACAAATGTCGTAGCGCCCTGCTCTTTCCTCATTCAGAGGACAGCACAGGGCGTGCAACTGATAATATGCAATGCAAGCAGTAAACACAGTATGGGGAAAGAGAAATAGGCAACAGAGCAGGAGGAGGTGGAGTGACAAGGGAGGAGAGAGCGTCAGGAGTCTGACTTTTACTCTCCTCCCATTTTTACTCTTAAGTTGCTGGTTCTTTTGGGAGAACTGGTGTTTATTCCACCAAGAGTATGATAGGAATGTAAATACAACAGCTATGCTGTAATGCTCCTCAGTTGGCTCACTTGTACTGTAAACACAGTTAAAGCTTAACTCAGCCCATAACAGTGTCCTTAAAGGGATGTAGAGAACTCCCAAAGTAAAATTACAGATTGCTTAAGATGTAGTGAATTCTGGTAAAAAGAGAGGCTTATAGAAATTTAATCTTTCAGGCCACGTTTGACAATTTTAAAATGAAATTGGATTGGTCAGGAAAGGTTTTAATACAAGAACAATATTGCATTTCTTTGTGCAGTGAAGGAGCAAAGTTAACTGGATTTTTATTCAGCGCTTACTACCTAAAAGCAAGTAACACCTGTAAGAGAAAAGAAATGCCATTCTCTACTTGCTACCCTAAATTTAGCAAGCTGCAAGCGTCACCATGGCTGGTCTAGCTCACAGTGACATTATATGGTACAACACAGATAGGCAGCAGCCATCACCTTGCCCCCGGAGAGCTTATCCACATGCACGTCTGACAGGAGCATGAGGAAGCAGCCACATTAGGCCCAATGACTCATAGCCAGCTGTGTTAGCATAGCATACCCATCTCTATCTCATCTAGCACCACACAGCACCAGCAATTACCATCCCTCTTGCAGCGGCAATGACTAGAGGGGATATGAATATTTCTCCTCAACTCAGCTCAGTGGCAGTGACAGAAGTTGTGACCGAATACTCCCCATCAAGGTTCTAGGATGTATCATCCTATATTAAGGCCAAGTGACTCATTTGTCACGGAGATCATTTAAAGAAGAACTTGCAAAGTTGTCCTTCAGGAACTCGGGCATTGTCGTTCCCTGCTGGAGGTAGAGGGATTGTGTTTCACAGGAGTGTAGTAGAACAAAAGTAAAATTTAATATGCAGGTTTAGAACATGGATGAGAATGAGATACTCCTTAATCATGACCAGGGAGCAGATCAACTCTCCAACAAATTGTTGCCGTTGTGCTTATGGGCCTCTAAGAGTCTGTCACCAAGTTATAATGAATGTACAATCTACAGGTAAATAAAGAGAAACAAAAGATCGTGTGTGCATGCAACCTTTGCACACATGTAAGTACAGTATGCTTTGAGTTTGTGGTCATAGGAGGTGAGCCTGTTATAGGCGAGGAAGACAGAAAAAGAGTGTGTGTGTGCAGAAAATATGTTCAGAGAGACTAGCGTATAAAGGTGGACTGTTGCTTGTGTTTGATGTTCATGATATCTTTATTTATCTCACTTTAAACTGTTCAATGTAAAAGTGAAAGCAGCCTGAAGGATTGTAGATAAAAGGGTACAACTCTCCACTGTGGTCATCAGTGTAAAACAAAACCAAAACAAACAAGACAGACGAGACAAGATAAAAACAGTATAACATAATACCGACATCCTAGAATTACATGTCAGAAGTTAAATTAATACTAAAATATTAAAGCCTGCCCGAGTTTCTGTAAATTATTTGTGACCTGTCGTCTAACTACACTCGCAAAGTTTAATGGCGTAATGCAAATGAGTGAATAAATGAATGAATAAAAATACAACATCGCTGCTAAAAACATAAGAGCCTGTCTGCAATATGTGGATCTGCCCTTTAAATAGTTTTTTTCCCACCTAATAGCTGGGAGGCTCTTCACTATTGTAAACACTGGCTGTTGAGAGATGTAACACTTTTATTAATCAGCCAGATACTCACTCCACTTCTGTGATGTACTAAATTGAACAAGCACTGAGAGAAATCGAGATACGTTGTTAATGTGCTTGTTGTTTTATGGGTTAACTTAAGAAATGAGGTCGGGGCTGGTTTAACCCATTGAGGGGCCTGGAGCAAAAATGGGCTTCTGGAAACCCTGTTTGCTGCAACTTTCTCTACTCTCTCACATGGCAACTTTTTAATATTTTGCCCAGAGGCCCACACCCTATCCAATACTGCTTTGCTAGAATACTACCCCCTACACCAGTAAGCCTGTTACTCAGACTGAATTGCCATCTTGTTTCATACATTCAGCCCAACATTGTTTCCATGTTAGCCGATTTGTATTTGGGGGTGGGATGTTTTTATCTTTTTTTGTTTTCACGTATTCGTCCTGCCAACATCATTTTCAGTTGACACAGGAGCTGCGTTAGTTGTTGCTATGAGCAGTTAACTGAATGTTTTTCATGATGATCAAAAGAATCGTTCTGATGTAAGACAACAACCTGTACAATGACCTTATCCACACTTGTCCCCATTTTTGTTGCTATTTTTCTGATGCTGTTTTTCAGGATGTGGCTAAGTAGCTAGTTAGCTATGTAGAAAAAAGATGTCCCCATTCTTAATCCTACAAAGCTCTGATTGGTCACTTGTTTCAAACCATTTGAAACAGCCATCAGTGAGCATGAAACCAGATATATTTGAATTGATAAAAAAAGATAAAGATTTGATTTAGAGATCTGTTACCACATTAGGCTTGTGGAAATTTAAATACATACAAACTTATTTAGGAATATGCACGTGCAAGCATAGTTTCCATTAAATAGTAATAGTATTAAAACTAGATTTTGACATCGGGAGGCTCTACTGTGTAAGACTTCAAGCTTCAACGTTATACAGCAACTTCATACCAGGCGAAGATGCAGTGATGCAGAAGTGTACCCTGGGGTTTGTCAGTACACCATGACGTCTCTGTTGTGTGTGGTTATAGGTGCCAGAAAGCACAACTTCAGCCTTGTTGAGTTACTCTTTAAGTATAAATGCTGGAACCTCTGTCTGGTCCTTATCACTTCAGTGTATACATTTTAGTGGTGCCAAGAAAATTTGCAATTAATAAAATTAATACGAACAAATTAGCACCATGTGAAGATCGGGGGCCCCACTGGGCAGTTCCCTGCTTTGCCTGACTGGTTATCCAGACTTGAATAAGACAAGAAAAAATAAAGTTTTTGAAGGTGTTCTGAATAATAACATTTGGAGATAAAAATGTGAAAGTTCATATATTGTTCTCTCTTCTGTCCTTTCTCGCTGTCCTTCTTTATTACATTATTTCCATATTTCCCTCAACCCATTCGCAATTCTTTCAAACTTTACTTCTGTCTCCATTTCCTCCCTCCCTTGCACTCCCCACTTTTTGTCTCCCTTTGATCTTTTGTTGTCTCCTTTCCTACATCAGTCAGTGTTTCGCAGCTCTCCACTGCTGGGCTGCTTCCTGTTCGGCCTACCGCTGGGTGTAATTAGCCTGATGTGCTATGGCATCTGCACAGCTGAGTCGGATGACGGTTCGGATGACATGGATGCGCTCAAGAGGGAGGGCCTGACAGATGAGGAGGAGGAGGAGGAGGAGGAGGAGGAGGAGGAGAGGCAAGGCACCGCTGAGCTGGAGGGCCCTGAAGAGGGTGAGGGTGAGGACGATGATGCTGGAGAGAAGGATCCCGAAGAGAAGAAAACTGATTAACACAGGGGCTCCCATCGGCTAGAGGAGGATAGACCTAGTCAAATGCAGTGACATGAAACTCAAAGACATATCAATGTATTATTGTTCTGCTTCTTTGTCTTTCATGTCACTTCCCCTCGAAGTCCCTCTAGCACAGACTGTTTCTGTGTCAGTGTGTAAGGTCAGCTGCTTGGTAAAGCCATCGAATCATGTTTAAAACTAACAGCCGTTTTAATGATGCAGTGTAAACAATATAATTTTCAAGAGAAGAAGGGATGGTTGTGAACCAAATATACCACTTATTTATTATGATTCGACCAACTAGTGGTTTATTCCATGTGATGTATGACCCTTTCTCTGACATTGGTCGTTGTTTTGTAACCACTTCAAATGCTCTTATATTTTTTTGTCATATCCCAATCTCTTCTATTTCTCCTTTTTGATTCCATTTTGCTATGATATCCTAGAATAGTACATGTTGAAGATAGCAGATAAATCTTACCTTCAAACTGAATACAACATACATACACAAACATTTTGTTCACCTCTTCCTCCAACCCAAAGTGTAGGCTTATCATGTGTAGTGATTGGTGAGAATAGAAAGCAAAGGAAGTGCCCAGGAAGGAAAATCTGACATAAATGAATTGTGCTTTTTCTATTGTATATTGTTGCCTGAAAAATGTTCTTCCTCTAGGGATGCAAAGTGCTGAGCGTTTCTCATGCCAGCCACCTGTTAGTGTCCATTTATGAAGAGAGCGAGAATGGTAATTGGTATCAGTCTGTCTGATACTGGGATATGGCATATGCACTTTTTTCTTTTAACTCATTTCAACCAACCTGCAAAAAATTCCTAGTATAGATGCATTGTATCTGTACAGCAGACCCCCATAACATGCATCAGTAGTTCCTGCGGCTTTTAACATCTCATATTCCTCAGATAGACCGGCTCTGTCTGTCTCCATATTTCAATCTGTCGTCCATCACCGGTTGCTGTATTGAATGCAGGAGGCAGGTTGAAGTTTACATCCCGATGCACAGAAGTACACAGAGCGTACAAAATATCAGGACTGTCTTCCTTCCACTTAGGTCCAACCTTTTTTTGTTATATCCCACTATTGTCAGTTAAAGTCTATGTCTATGTGGTGGCCAGCCTATTTAAAACCGCAAGTGTTCCTAAAATCTGCTACACCCACTTTAATACCATTTTGATGAAAAATGCACAGTAGAGTGCACCTTGTTGACATGTTAAAGAACCTGGAAACATGTTTCATTATCTTTAGTATCTATAAAATGAAATCCTTGCCACTAAAGAAGGAAACAGTACAGCTAAAAATGTGTTACTTTTTAAAAACAGTTAAAACTCAAACTCAGGGTGTGATTTGATTTACAGTGGTGTTTCCGTGGCAACAAAAGCTGATTTCCTAACATCCGTAGTTAGAATCTCACTCTTGATGGATGAGACAAGCAGACAAAACACAAACACTGTGTAAACATCCCTCGTGTTAAAGAACCAGGATGGTTCCACATTTGGCAGATAATAGTGTAATCATGTTGGACCCCATCACTTACAGTATGAGCTGATGATTTAATTTAAAATAATAGTTTTTTTTAGAGATTTTGGGAGTATACGGTACACTTATGCTAATTCAGTCTTGCCAAGAGTTAGATGAGAATGTTCATACCACTCATGTCTGAAGGGAAAATATGAAAATATTTAGCTTAGCACAAAGACTGTGAACAGGGAGAAAAATGGCATAAGGTTGCAGTTTTTCAACAAAAAAGTTTAATGTGTGAATTAGTGAGCTTTAGTGGTGCTTGTAGGCAGTTGCTTCCAGTCTTTATGCTAAGCTAAGCTATTGAGACATGAGGCATCAATCTTCTCATCCAAATCTCAGAAAGAAAGTGAATAAGCATACTTCCAAAAATGTCAAACCTTTCCTCTTGAGGGGTATGCTGGATTATTATTTGCCCTGCACCTGTTACATTATTCATCTGAAACATTCACACATTTTATTTAATGCACAGAGCTGCAAAGCAATTATAAGTCTGAAATGAGCAATGAAAGCTCCTATAACAGGCTTTCTCTCAAGGGAACAGTGCATGGTAATGAATGAACATTTTGTTCATTCTTGACCTTGGGAAGGAGTATGACAAAGTAATCCTAACTCCATGACAGCTGTGCAAAGTGGACCTTGAATTAAGATGATCTTTTAAAATGGTAATGAATGTTTTGAGCTGTTAAAGCTATTCATTTGTAAAGGCAATCCCCAATCCCTAGCCCCATTCTGTAACCCTTTTCCAGAAGTGTAGCTGAGTAATATGACGGCTACAGGATTTGTTATTCATTATTGCTCATTTCATCGTGCTTTTGTAGCTCAGTAAATCTTGTAACTTGATAAACTTAGGCACCTCAACCTAAGCACACCTGTTGTTTTTAATATACAGAGGTTATCTGTAGCATTACTGTGAAACTGCACTGAAGGAAACCATGCCCTCGCCTTGCCTTCTGGTCTTTGTAGTTGCCTACCATTCTCTGCCAAACTTCCTCTTTGGGTTTGAATTGAGATTGTCACACTTTATTACAGGTTTGAAAGATTGAAATAAAGATTGTCCTCTTTTTTTCTTGTTGGCTGGTATCTTTTCGCCCATCTGATGTACATATGCTGTTTTTTTTTCTCATTTAAATGGCCTGCCTGTCTTCCATTTAGACATCTAATTCTCCATCTATCTCCAATTATCACATGTCTAAATGTGTTTTTTTTCCCCTCCACAGTATAATCCTAGGTAGAGGTGTCTACTCAATTATAGCAGATCTAATCAAATTTTTGGAGATCGCGGTTTAACCGTGGCTGATTGCATTACTTGATGTGAAACTCATTTATTTCTTCTCTTTAGGGAATGACAGCACTCACAAGTCAAACTTGGAGACGTGACTTCACATAATGAAAAAGCACAATGTCACAGCATACTGTCTGAAACCTGACCCTCGCGCAGGCTGAGAGACGGAACAAAAGTGTTGCTTTTGGGAGGTTTGATTGGTTGTTTTTCAGGTCTGATAAAAGAGGAGATCGTTCATTTTCCGTTGGATGTCATTTTGGGGATAAATTACCACAGAGGGGGAGATAATGTATTACTACATCAGAATCAGTGTCATTGAGTGGTGCTGATGCAAAAGTAATTCACCGCTCAATTACCTCGCTATATATTTTGAGAATGAGTTTCATCGTGTGGCAAATGAAGGAGGCCTGCTGTCTCTTTCTGTCGGAGAACCAACAATCCAGCGCACTAGACAAGGGCAATTACACTTTGCTGCTCATTCTGACGTCTGTCTTATGTTGAAATGGCAAATTAAGGTGCAATAGTAATCATCTCGTTCCTGACTCACGTGGGAGGCATTTAATGATTTCAGGTCACATGTAGGGCCAAGGTAAAGACAGAGGTGGTTATTTGAGTTAATGCTTCCAGCCTGTATTTCAAGGGTATTCTGAGCTCAGTTTGTGTCACTCAACAAGATGAGAAATGGCTGATTAGCTCTGCTCACCATGGAAACCAACCCACACTTGTTATCTGTGAGTCTTTGCAGATTCCATTATGGCTGATAGATGGCTGCAGCTGCTAAAGTCCATCTGTCTGGTGCCACTTTAAAAAAATACCTCATTGCCTAATTACACAAACACTTTTAGGCAATTTTTCCTTTTTAAAGATATCACCTCCCCTCAGTAAACGACACTTTTGTGTGTGTTTTTGCTTCCATCATCAGCACATAGATAATACCTCGCAGCTCTGTCTGACTATTTTTGGTGCTGCGTGCAACAGTTCAACTGGGTTTAATAGCCGTTTGTCAGCTTGTCAGTCGATAGAGGGTACTTGCTGATGTTGTTGTCTGAATGGCCTGACATTTGGAAAACTTTTCTTCAGGGCTGTGTGAAAATGACTGCGTGCAGAGATGCCTGCTGCATATCAAAGCTGTTACAACTTCTCACGCATCAAATATCATCAAACACACACACACACACACACGCACACTTGCAGAGGATAGTATCTGCCGCTTGAAAAGAAGATAAGAAAAACACAGTCAAAAATACAGCCTTTTTCTGAAAGACAGATATTACAGTGCTTAACTAAATGCTGATAATTGATTATTTCAATCAGAGAAACAAAAGACATAATACCGTACTCTGATGTTATTGGTGCAGTGTAAATACATTTTAATCTCAATTTTCTGTTTCAATGCAGTGTTTTGTAAACCAATACTCTCCATTAGTACTCCCATGTGATTAAACATTATTAAGGGTCACCACAAATATTGTTACACCACACATAATCACATCTGCAGATAGCATTTTATCACTGTAGGCTCGTCATACTTTCCATTCTTTCATTGCATATAGTCTACAATGATAAGAGGGCAGGCAGAATTAATAGTTATTATTGAAACAGTGGGTCTTTGATTTGATCAAAAAGACGGCTAATTGCTGGGCTGAAATTACAACTGTCACTAGCAATTTTTACCAGCTGTAGATAGCTAGCTATGTAAGCAAATGTTAGTTCCATTGAGTTGAGGTTCAAAACGCTGTCTGCCTTAATTTTTCATGTTTTTAGCTGACATGTTTAAAGATTTTAATCAAGACTTTTTAAAAATTTAAATGTACATGTATGGCTACATACATGATATTGGGCTAAAAGATTGAGGGAAAAAGTCAACATCCACACCAGGTGATGATCCATGTAGCCCTTTCAGCTTTATTGTTAAGTACCTTCAAACATGTTTCTCTTTTCATTTTACAAGAGAAAAGGCTTATAGCGTGAGGAAAATTAGTTTTAAGTGTAAAATTCCTGAAATCCAATAAACATTGGATAAATGTTATATTATTGTTAAATGTTTATATATTAGCACCCAGGACCAGGTTCTACACAGGGCAAATATACTACACAGAGCTTTTTTTTTAACGTAACCTCTTATCCGATAAAATAAGTATAAATTGCATCTTGGCCTTGGAAGTAACATTGGGTAATGTTAGGTAGTTAGCCGGAGGTGCTCATATTTGCAGCTTACTGTATGTTAGTGCAGACAAGTCCACTATTTAATCCATTCCTTATACTTCAGCTCTTGTATGCAAACTCTTACTAGAGCCATATTTACTGCTTCATTATGATAAGAAATCCGAAACTTGATCTGTCCTGCCTAATTACTAGTTGTTACAGTATGTTTAGACTATTGCTGTTTGGGGGAGTGGTTTAGTAAAGGTCAATTAGCCATCAATTAAACATAAAATTGCAGCTCAGTGACTAATCCAGACTCCAAATCTTGGTTTGTGACAAATCTTTATTTATAGCTGAAGAGAACAAATGGTGTGCAGCTCTGCTGAGAAAAACAAGTCCATGGCCCATATTATCCCTGTCAACTATAAGTGCACTGTAAGCATTTCCCAGCAGAGTGTTTCTGCTTATCACTCTGCCAAGGAGCTGCTGCCACATAGCAGTTCCCTAATGATGTTGCCCGGATCGTGATCATTTACTGGAGGGACCTGTCCCCTGAGGGGGGTCAGGGTGACTTACAGTACCTGAGACATAACTGTATCTGGGGGAGGTGACATGTGCCTGCATGGGCACAGCTGATGACACCGTCACTCCCATCATTGCCACAGGGCTCCTTACATCCTCTAACCTGATTATCCAAAGAGCTTAAAAATCAGCTTTCACAGTCAAGGAAGACAACAGGTTCATCAACACACGGATGAGTCTTTGCCCTATGTGCATGTATGTGTGTCACAGCTTGTATTTAATCTGATCAAGTCCGTTCACACAGATGTTCAGGGATGTTACGTGACTCGCATGCTGGGTCCAGAGCTTACTCCCAAGCCCCCTTATAGTGACTGTAGCCAGCTGGGTTTTAATGATGGTGCAGTCACAACACTTACATTCGTACACACACAGTGTTGTTGTGAGCACCTTTTGCTGTTAAGGCAACAAGTGTAGGAACAGGACATCTTGTGGAAGCAGTCTCTGAATCCCTTTAACCCCTAAAAACGGGATATCTTAGGAAATACAACAGGGGCATGAGGAGGTGAGTGCTATATTCTGTGAAGAAAGTGGGATTTATTTAAGTTAAGTTTGCACAATAATCCTTTCTTTCAGGCGCATGTCCAGAACATTTTGAACAGGTGGGGTCACAAGCTATGTGGAGTAGGCTGTCTGTTTTTATAGACTGTACTGTAGATTATATACGGTTATTATGTGTTCATAAAGCCTTGAGCCAGATTCAAGATTGGCTTGTTGTGGAGGCTCCCAATTTTCAACACTGAGCTCAGCAAACAAAGCAGCATATGAAATAGGATGAATTTATTTTAATATATGAATGGGGTTCTCTAATTAATGTGCCTGAAGCTAGTGTATTCAATTATGTATTGTTTGTTTGATGTCTGAAATTATCCTTTCATCCTTTTTATCTTTTATATCACCTGCAGCGTTGTCTGGTTAGTGTCAGTTTTGTATTGACAGGTTTGATTCTGTGCAAAACATACACACACCTGACCAAATATTCCCAAAACTAGAAAAAAAGAAAAGAAGAAATCAAGACAAACAACTCAATCCACCATGGGAAACAGACGTACTTAATAGTCATAACATGTAATACATCTGCTTAATATTTTGGGCGCCCAGCGGAAAGAGAAGTAAAGAAATAGTTCAACATTTTGGGACACATGCGTATTCACTGTTTTTTAGACAGTTAGTTGCGAAGATAACCACCAGTCTCATGTGTGTACACTAATTATTAGATTTTGTTATTAGTAATGTAAATTATCCAGCTTATCGCCCACCATTAATACCTCTTTCACCATAATAGTGGCATCAGAATTGATCTACACAGATACAGTGATGCTAATGAACCACTCTTGAAACTCTTTTATAAAAGGCGAGATGGCCAATTTATTTACGCAGGAATAGCCAGACATTTTCTGCTTTAATTACGGCACTTACTTACTGTTTTTATTAGAAACATTTAACTGACAAAGCTTCATGTATTTTGTACTAGGGGGGATGATGGCGCAATGGATAAGACACATGCCTTTGGTGTGAGAGACCATGCACCATTGTGTCCCTGAGCAAGACACTTAACCCCTAGTTGCACCAGAGGCGTGCGACCTCTGACATGCATAGCAATTGTAAGTCGCTTTGGATAAAAGCGTCAGCTAAATGAATAAATGTAAATGTAATGTACTAGGGATGTTAGATTTGCGAATAAGCAACTCTTAAAAAGGCAGTCGCAGAAGGAAGTGAGTCCAACATTTTTCTGTACGGTGCATGCGCAGTTGTGCATAAGAGCCAGTTTAAGTTAACTCGTTCATTCTGCTCAAGACCCCTGAGCTGAAGAACAACTAACAGCCACTGACTGCTCAGCAACAGACTCGTTTGGTGGGCTAACCCAGTTGCACAACACACACATTGTGTACAATGTATTCAGTTCCTCTCACACATTGTTTAATTATTCTTCAATAAACACTTGAGTCAAATAAAAGTTCAATGCAAAATAGATTTACTGTAAATTCATGAGTACAAATTGAGTCAAGTTAGTTCTGGAAAAAACATTAAAAATTCAGTTAACTTGCGTTAACTTATAT